CCCAATAGTTTAGTCAGGAGAGCGACCCAAAGTTTGGAACCCTTAACGTTAATTTTACTATTTGCGTATTTTACTCTATTTCGAGAACTCCATAAACGATTCGAAACATTTTTATAAACAAGTATAAATTTCGTTTATTCAAAGATTATGCCATGCAAAAAAAAATTTTTTTATAATTATTTATTATATTACATTTCATCTAATAATTGCCGAAGAAACTTGTAAACCATTCAGTGGAATGTAATTTTGCATGACAAATTAGAAAATTTGAACGAAATCGGTTCAAATGTTCTCGAGACTTTAAATTTATAATATTTTTTTTAAAATTTGATAACTCAAAAACTATTAGACCGAATATGTTCAAATTTCTTATCTTGCCATTTAAAATTACGTAATGATGTACGAAATCAAGTACCATACAATTTAAATTTTTTTCCGACAATTATTAAATCAATTATTAACAAATAATATTTTTTTTATTTTTTTATTTTATTTTATTTTCCTGCACAGAGTTATCTTCGGATAAAAGAATTATCCTTTTATTATGTGGATAATTAACTGATCAGAAGAAATATGTGTCTGTTTAAACTTCCTGAGGAAAAAAAAAACTTTTACGTTGAAAATTGCCTTTTATCAGTAAAAAATTTTAAATTATTTAATAATTTGGATTATTCAAGGAAAACAAGATAAGAAATAAGAAAGAAATTTTATTAAAAAATTGCACATGGGAGTCAAAAAGAAAATCGGCACTATTAAAGTGATTTCACACTGATTCACAACGTGGGCCTGCAGCTTGTAATGCGAAATTTTTTTAAAAATATAAATAGCCTGTTGAAAAAACAGCAACACCACAAAAATAATTTACCTGGTAGTATATTGGCGCCTGAAATTATCTGTGATTATAACTTTGCACCAGGATTAAACGTAAAAGACTTTTTCTTTAAATATAAATAGCCTGTGGAAAAAGCAGCAACACGACAAAAATAATTTACCTGGTAGTATATTGGTGCCTGAAATTATCTGTGATTATAACTTTGCACCAGGATTAAACGTAAAAGACATTTTTTTTAAATATAAATAGCCTGTTGAAAAAACAGCAACACCACAAAAATAATTCAGCTGGTAGTATATTGGCGCCTGAAATTAGCTGTAATTATAACTTTGCACCAGGATTAAACGTAAAAGACATTTTTTTGAAATATAAATAGCCTGTGGAAGAAACAGCAACACCACAAAAATAATTTACCTGGTAGTATATTGGCGTCTGAAATTATCTGTGATTATAACTTTGCATCAGGATTAAACGTAAAAGACATTTTTTTTAAATATAAATAGCCTGTGGAAAAAACAGCAACACCACAAAAATAATTTTCCTGGTAGTATATTGGCGCCTAAAATTATCTGTGATTATAACTTTGCACCAGAATTAAACGTAGAATAAAAATGTTTCAAAAGTATTAAAAAATTATCCCAGAAACAGAGATTATTATTTTTAAAAACGTAATTGAAAATTAAATTTAGCAGTATGTGATATTAATGTTATGCTTTCTATGTAAGATAAATCCGTGAAAAAAAAATCTGCTGAGCAAAAAATAAATAATATATATTTAAATGTCTGTAAAGTTCAAAAGTGGATAAAAACTTTTGCCGGTCGTGAGATAGAGCTTTTCAGTTAAGGTCCCTCAATAATGAGCGATCCTATGAACATGTAACATCAGCCAAATAATGATTAATTTGTTGAATCTTTTAATTTTGATAACTTTTAATAAGTATAAATTAACAAGATTTCAGTTCGACCATTTTTTGCCGTATTTATTCAGAAACAATGCGAAGATTATTGTTGTTGTAGTTGTAGTTCATTTACGTCACACTAGAGCTACACAATGGGCTATTGGCGACTGTCTGGGAAACATCCCTGAGGATGATCCGAAGACATGCCATTAAAATTTTGATCCTCTGCAGAAGGGATGGTACCCCCGCTTCGGTAGCCCGGTGACCTGCACGCGAAGTCGAGCACTTTACTATAGAAAAGTTTAACGAGGAGCAATACCACACACCCTCGGTCCCTACGCAGACTGATCCAAGTGGTCACCCACCCGTACACTGACCTCAGCCAGTAATGCTTGACTTCGGTGATCTGCTGGGAGCCGCGTCTTGACGATTAGTCCACTGCGGAACATGAAGATTAGGAATTTGAAAAAAGTTGCTGCCAAAACATGTACTGTGCAGTGAAAATGTATTACCTTAATAACTTTTAATCTAATGATATCATCGTCACTTGCTAAAGTTTGTGCGGGTGATATTTTAAGATGCGACCAGACAAAAGAACACATTTTCTCTGAATTAACGTACTTTTTACGACTGATTAGGGTTCTTAATTCTGGTGAGTGTGAAGCGAAAATTTGTTTTAGTTGTTTTTAGATGTATTGTTAAAAAAGGTGACATGGTTGCTAGATTTAGAAACAACTCGCTTTTTTGGCAGTTCTGATATGACCTCTTTTTACTTGTTTATTACTCTTTGTTCTTGGTACGTCCCGTAATGGACTGATCGTAAAGACAAAGTACCCAGTAGAAAACAGAAAAGAATCACTGGCTGCGGTCAGTAAGCGGGTGGGAGACCTCTCTGATCAGATTGCGTAGGGACTGCGGGTGCGCGGTATCAGTTCTCGTTAAAATGTACTACCGTAAAGTACTCAACTTCGCACGCAGGTCGTTGGGCTACCAGAGTAGGGGAGGCATCCCCTCTGTAGAGGATCGAAATTGCGATGGCATGTCTTCGGATCTTCCTCGGGGATGTTTCCCAGACCGTCGCCAATAGCCCATTGGGCATCTCTAGTCCGACGTAAATAAAGTACCTATAGGTATAAAGTACTTACCTGTTCTTGGTGCAAGTTATGCACCATCATAGATAAGTGTTAGCATATTGTTCGAGCAGCGGGATTATATTCATTTTACAAATTATCATTTAGGCTTAAGCTTCAAAGCTTGTGTATTGTTAACTAGATTAAAAGTGTTTAAAAACGATTCGTTGACAATACTTCAGTCTTGAAATGACAGGTCTTTAAAGGACGATTCTTCTTTTAAACACAAATAATAAATCAGATAAGAAATACACGTATACATGATATACTACTCAAGATAGAGTCTCGAAACACAATGACCACGTTGAGAGCCAAGTGGTTCGCGCGCAGCAGGTGCCATCCCCTCTGAAGAGGATCAAAATTGTGATGGCATGTCTTCGGATCATCTTCAGGGGTGTTTTCCAGACCGTCACCAATGGCCCATAGTGCAGCTCTAGGGCGACGTAAATTATCTACAACAACAACAACAACAACGAGAGCCAAGTATCTTCAAAACACACCATAAGCAGTCAATGCAAAACACACCATAGCAAAACACACCATAAGCAGTAGGCAGTCAAGAATTTGCAGCGCTTCCTAGTATAGAAAATACTATCCATAAATTTTGCATTTTTCGGTGAGAATGGTCCGGCAGTGCTCTTAAAAGTTTCGGTTCTTTCATGTAGATTTCTCTATTTTTTCGTACTGGCGATTGCAACGCTCGAATACGCCATCTGGGGAGAGACCGGTTTCTTGCCTTTGGCCCTTCTCCCTTCCCTTTCTTCCTCTTTTCAGTTGCATAGGAATGCATTAAGATATTTTCCCTTTTCTTAATAATTCTCCTTTTTATTTAATAAATAGGAGAATTCATAATTAAAAAAACTTATTCAATAATTTTTTTTAATTAAGTAACATCAAATACTTAAAACAATTTTAAATGTGCTTTTTATTTTTGTTTAATACTTGGTGTAGGAAATATTTCGTGTGGAAATATCTGCTTCTAGAAATGTGTTTTTTTAAAAATTTCCGTGATGCTTTTCTTTTGAACTATGTTTAATGTAGCTTTCAGTTCCATACAGTTTTCCAACTTAAAAGATTTCGATCTATATGAAAATCAAGAGAGAAACTAACATACTTCCTTCCTCTATGACTCTCCACACGCTAATGGGGAAAGCATGCAAAGTGCTGCCATAGGTAGAGAGTTCTACGCCACCTGCAGCCCATTTCGATCTCCAATTTTAAAATAACTCATTAACTAATTCCCGGAAAATCTCACGTTGGGAATGATCCAGTAAAATATTTTGCAATTGATTTCCTCATGTACTTCAATTGGCGATCGAAATGGGCTGCAGGTGGCTTAGAGGAAAACTATAACTATATTGGACTAAAACTATATGGAAAACTATATGGACTAACTATATGGAAAACTATATGGAACTGAAAACTACATTAAACACAGTTCAAAAGAAAAGTATCAAAGAAAAGTAAATTCTAAAAAAATTTTTTATTAAATAAAAAGAAAAAATATTGGCGATCGAAATGGGCTGCAGGTGGCGTAGAGCAGAACTCTCTACCTGATAACACTTTACATTCTTTCCCCACTAGCGTGTGGAAAGTCATAGAGGAAGGAAGTACGTTAGATTCTCTCTTGATTTTCATATAGATTAAAATCTTTTAAGTTGGAAAGCTATATGGAACTGAAATTTGCGTTAAACATAGTTCTAAGGAACAGTATCACGGAAATTTTAAAAAATATTTTCATTAAATAAAAAGGAAAAATATTAAGAAAAGGGAAAATATCGTAGTACATTCCTATACAACTGAAAAAAGGAGGAGAGGGAAGGGAGAAGGGCTAAAGGCATGAAACCGGTCTCTCCCCAGATGGCGTATTCGAGTGTTGCGATCGCCAATTAAGAAAAGGGAAAATATCGTAGTACATTTCTATACAACTGAAAAGAGGAAAGGGAGAAGGGCTAAAGGCATGAAACCGGTCTCTCCCTAGATGGCGTATTCGAGTGTTGCGATCGCCAATACTGACGCATGAGATATTTCGCTCGTTTATGTTTCAGGCAGCAAAAACTAAACATTGTCTTATCTGTCAATCTTATCTAAGTAAGCTATAAGTTAGCTTTGTGGCAAATTGATAATTCTAAAATATCATTCAGGATACTCTTTCTGTGTTTTGTAAACAAGCTGCTTTTTTTAACAAGCTTTGTAAACAAGCTTTACGAGATCTATTAAATTTGATTAACTATTGTTCATGAATATATAAATTAAACTTCTATATTCTATTTCATGAATATATATTTTAACTCGAATTATTTACCTTTTTAACAAAAGCATTAAGATACACTTGATGCTAGAAAATTTTGAACATTAGCAATTGAAAGAGTATATATTAACTTATTCTACTTTCTTAGTGAAAATCAGTAAAAATGCTATGAATAGAATAAGTTTACATTAGATTTTATTATTTTTTAGTATATTAATAACTAAATTTAGTTTACTTAGCACTTTAAATAAAATCTAAGTATAATTTAACTAATTCTTATGTGTTTGGATAAATATACCTATGTAGTATTAGTCCAGTAATCATGAAGTATTTATCCAGCCTCAGGAATAATCAAAAGGGTGATTTATAAACTGTATATAGTGATTATGTGCATAAATTGATTCTTTTAATGACAGGCCCTAAATTATTTTTTAAGTTAGCTGTGAATCAGGAAATTTGAAATATTTCAAAATTTCAAATAAATTATTATTATAACTCGATTTATAATTTATTTCTAGTAAATTAATTTATCTGTCCTTCTAAGGATGGCAATATAAATTAGGTTTGACACACATGTAAATACGACTTGATGATACACTGCATGCTAGCAAATTACTTCAATGTGGACAACAGTTGTAACATCAATTTAGTGCACAGTTTTAAATACTAATTTTAAGTTGCATATAATACTCTTGTTTTTTTTTTATTTGCCGAAATTAATTTATTGATATATAATATTAAATAGTAGTACTATACTAACATATACATGAGTACTGTATTAACAACCTAAATGGAAAAATATATGTAACATTAGTTTTTGAAAATTTTTATCGATTAATTTTTATTACTAGGATATTGACAAATTATTTTCATAGATTTTATAGTTTCATATATTATATAGTTATATTATAATGGTTAAGTAATATTCTATTCACTCTTCGATTCTAAATAAATATTTTTTATGTTAAGATAATTTAACATTATAGTCAAATGCTAGATAGTTTGATATAGAGCCCCTGAATTAGACAGGCCGACTTATCATCTGTTTTTGGAGCAAAAAGCTAACATAAGCACAATACTAACATAATGTTGACTTGCGAACTTTTTTGCTCCAATATTGCTTGATAGGTCAGCTCTGATAGTATAGGAGCCATAGTTCGATGGAATTAGAGTAATTTAAAATAAAATTTGCACACACAATCTAAAAGTATCTGCAAACTTATATTTCTTGATGAAAGACTGATTTTGATTAAGCAACGGAAAATACTTTAAACATTTTTAAATGTGCTTTTTATTTTCCTTTAATAATTGGTATAGGAAATATTTCATGTGGAAATATCTGCTTCTAGAAATGTGTTTTTTTCCCTTGTATAATTGTACGTACAGGGGTCTGTTTAGGAGAAATTTGGGTCCATTAACGGACCCTTCACAAAATATCTTTTCATAAAAACGAACCCTTCACAAAATATTTTAACTTAAAAACAAACCCTTCTCAAAATAATGTATCTTTTAATCGTACCCTTCACAAGAGACACTCGATAAATATTTGCGTATTATTGTAAATGGGTGGGAAAAACTGACTGATGCTAAGTGCTCAGCTATTATAGATATTTTCAAATCTACTGGCAATGGACGTAAATTGCTCTAATATTTTGTTAATAATGTTTTTCTGCTTTAATTTTAAGGCAAAGTTTGATCTCATTTCATTTATATTATGTACCTTATCCTCTTCGAAATCAGAAAATATTTATAAATTCTATATGTAGGGTTCTAAGAAAATATTTCTACTTCTACAAACATCGTGTGAACATTCTTATTAATATGAAATGATATTTTTTTTGTAAATAAATAATTGAGCAATATATTATTCATAAAATTAATTGATAAAATATTATGTAAATAAAAATTAACTTATGTCAATTTTTAAAAAAAAAAAATTCTAAATTTAAGAATTGTTTAAGTTTACTTTATGTGTAACACATTAGAAGTGATACATAATTAAGTTGTGTCATTTAAAATCTGTCAATTGAAATTATTAAAAATGTGAGTGATTTTATTTCCATTGTTCGTCTGAAATGAATATTCCGTGTTGTGCAGTATTGGCTAAATACCAAATATTTGTATGTTGCATCTCTAATTTAGTAGCAGCAATAGCCGTTTATTTTTGAAAATTTAATTTTTAAATTATAATTTTACAGTGTTGAGCATAATCTTGTATCTATTTACAATTTAAAAGCTCCTTGAAAAAGTTTTTTGCAATAACAGGACCCTATTTGCATAAATTCACAAAACAGGACTCTGGTTGAAGGAATGTGACTTAACGCTTATTTTATATTCACAAATTGCGAGTAATTTTTTCACAATTTTACAAAAACTGGACCTTTCACAAAATGTCTGGACAGACCCCTGACTTATATTTTAAATAATATATTCAAATAATTTTTATAAGTTATTCACAAAATTTAAGAATCTCAGTGAATGTATCTGCATACTCCTATATTATCTGACTGTGAAGAGAATATGGATCTTAATTAATGCAATGTTACGAACAGAGTATGTTTGCTTACATAATCTAGAGCAAGAGTGTCAAGACTAAAGATTCTTGTTGTCCATAAACTAGAGTGATAGAGCTTCTTTGGAAGCAGAAACACTTTCCGTTTATTTTCTAAAAGAGGGTGCAATGCTGAATCACTTAAAATGCATCCCACTTACTAAATATTTAATAATTAAAGTTTGCAAACATTTAAAACTAAATTCCATTTTAATTTTGAGTCACAGTATTTCTTAGCTGGCATTTTAAAATTTGAAAATAAAACTGTGTAGATGGTTTTATTCATTTGTAGTTCTATCAGACCGTTCTCTTCTATTGGGCTTCTTTCTTCTGTAGACTTTTGAATGTAATAAAATTAGATAGAAAAAAACTGACAATTTCAGTTTCTGAATTAAAATGTTTAAAAAAAGAAATATGTAGTGTGTCACCATACGGTATTTAAATTTTTTATTCTTTGCACATGAAGTTTTAAGTGGTGCACTTGTGTATGTCATACCATCATGACGGAAGTTTAAGGTATTTTTAGAAATAAATCTCTTTGTTTTATGGTTATAATATTGTTTTATCATACTAGTGTTTAAGCTTGGAGGTATTTTTAGTTAATAAAATTACACTGAGTGAAGGTGTAGAATAAATTCGGATAAGAATATTCACATGACTGTCAATAGGCAGGGCTAGCTCTGTGAGCAGTTTGTCAAGGATTAATAATTACTTTTAAACTTTTGCCCATTTTTGAAAGTTTGTAAAGTTTTGGTTTTTATATCTCAATCCATTTTGTAATTGTAGATAAAGTAACAGAAAAATCTAAAGTACTGTGGATATTTAAACCCAGCTTCAATAAAAAGCAATGTTGGCATTATGTCTGATTCAGAATCTTCTCCACCCTTGCAGAAGAGCAGTTTACCCATGCTGTTTGAAACTCAAAGTATTATATTTTTTGTATTATTTTATACTTAATTTGTAAAATATGTTTAATTTTATGTCATTCCTTATCTTACTATTCCTAATTTTGCTAAAATTTTCCACCAAGTTTTGTTATTCCTGAAATTTTATAAAGGTGGAGAAATAAAAATATACCAAAATTTAAATATGTAAAAATTCTCCTAAAAACATGGTATCTATGTGATATCCTTCCATAGCATGTTCTCTACCACGTTTCTTGTAAATCACCATGCAAATTTTTCCCCTAATATACATTTTCACATAATTCCTAAATTTTCAATATTTCCTTCATTTCTTTTATATTTAACAAATATTACTTAACCAAATTACAACTCTTCATAAAAACTTAACTAACTCAGGCACAAAAACACTAACCAATAATAGAATATCTAAACTCAACTTTCTCTTGAATTTACACTCCAAAATATGTACCTACAGTAATAATTTACTTCATGGACAAAAAGTGTCACACAAAATTTAATCTTAGAACCATTATTAAATCACCATCGTTTTATAATTAAATCTCTGCAGAAAACACTATGTAAAAATATGAAGCATCAATGAAACTTAAACTAGGTCAATTATCTTGCTCATCATTTTTCTTTCTGAACAATTACAAATCCATCATTACATCAGTTTTTCATCTGTGCAGTTACAAATTTACCAAATTCATCACCACAACATCAAATATCCACTTCTTATGCAGGGCTATAGTGAACAATAAATTTGGGGGTGGGGTATGCAAAATTACCATGACTCAAAATTTTTTTTTTACCCAAATAATGGTAAATTTTTAAAAATCTCTAATATTTTTCATATTTCATAACTCTTAAATTTTCCCCTAGTAAAAATTTAAAACTTCAAACATTTCTTGGTAAATATAATGCATCAATAAATAAACAGTAAATATTGTCAAAAAATTATATATTTTTTTGAAAATATAGGGTAAACTAACCAGTGAAGGAACACTTAAGCTTCACTTGCCTTTTAAAAAATCATATTAATTTCAAAATTCGTAATTTTAGTTAAATGACAGTGTCAACATCTTTGCTACTAATTGCAAATTATGTAAAAAAATTGTAGAGAACTTACATAATATTGTTTTAAAGTTTTGGAGGTTCAAATAGCAAGTAGTAAGAAGACCAAATGAAGGAACAGTTCTTACCAGTGAATGAACACAAAATTTCCCAGTAAAGGAACACTTAATTTTGGTTATTTTTTAATGCTCTTTATGAATTTATATGCCATACAAATATCTAAAAACAAGCCTATTCTTGAAATTATAACATACAAATACTTGGAAATGTTAACTTTTTTTTGTAATCATGAATTGAAAAGTAAAGTGTCAACATATTAACACATATTGTTCATTCACTGGAAAATCTAAGGAACATGCCTGTTCCTTCACTGGTTAGAAGTTGTTTCTTGTATTTTTAACATACTTTTGACGCAAAACATCACTAAAGGTACAAGAAAATTAAAGTTTTTCTTTCATTTTCATTAGCTTAGAAAAAACCCAGTAAAGGAACACTTGTTCCTTCACTGGTTTTTCATCGTTTGGTGATCCAGTGAATAAACTCCCCCTTATCTCAGTACTTGATTATGTTATGATGCTTAAAAAAAATAAAACATAACTTCAATAACTATATTTTGAATTCTTATTTTCACAGTGAGAAAAATAAAACTATTACATGCGATTAATTCCACTTCAAACATATAAATACAAATACTCACCTTATAATTTTTTCAAAGAAACAAGGTGTTGCAGAGATAATAACAATTTTAAAAATTTTTCCAGAGAAGTCTATGTGACTAGGTAATCTAAAACATTGCTAGATGATTTCCTATTGTTTGGCAGTAAGCTATTGTTATCAATCAATCTAAAGAAAAACTCAATATATCAATATATATGAAATGTTCCTTCACTGGGTAGTGTTCCTTCACTGGTTGGTTTACCCTAGAAATTATTCTCAAGAAATTAATGTGATTTAAAGAATTAAATTTAAATCGGAAAAAAAGAAAGGCTAATTTTAGTTATGGCATACTTAAGTTATAGCGACAAAAAAACTGATCCCTTCACAAAAATCAAATTTGTAAAAACACAAAATTAAATTTATGCTGCCTTTCTGCTTACGCGCATCAATCCAATCAAATATGGAAGCAAAGAAAGTTATGATACATAATTTTCCGTATTAAGAAAAAGTTGGTTAGAACATAAACCTAGGTATCAGAAAAAATAAGAATCTTTAAATATTTCAGTCAGTTGACCAGCTAGCTATTTGGAAAAAAAGAAAAAAATGATCAGGAACTAAGTTCAATTGAAATTTTTTTTTTATCAATTTACTTATTTATTGACTGACTTTTGTATGTGATGCAGCTTTGATAGAGAAAAGCAAAAAGAAATTCGTTCATAAGGAAAATATTTTTTCTTCCTTGCTGAATTTTTTCTTAAAAATATCTATATTAGAAACGAAATCTGACTAAAAAAACAAAATCAATAGGTTTATCTGTCAATAGGACGACTAGGATATTCCTCTATAACTTAGTAGAGAGGCAGACTGCTTCCCGCTCCCTAAGCCTCTGCTCCTATACAATCTTCCTTTCATTATTATTTTGTGCATCTCACCCTACCTATCATTCTTAGTACATCTCTGCAATAACAAATCTAAAACAAATACCAGATTATTATCAACTATTGCCAAACTTGCATCAAAAAGAAAATTTGGCAAAAATAGCACGAGAATAAAAACAAAACTATTGCATCTCAAATTATTTTAAATGTATTTTTTTAAAATTTTCTTATACTTATTCTTCATAATAAAATTTATTTGATCTTTTAGATTTTGGATTTCAACCACAGGAGTCAAAATGTGTTAATTCCCTTTGTAACCTGATTAATACAAGGTTAAAGCTGTTAGAAAATGAAATATTTGGCCAACATAAAGTTTGGGAATACATTCAAAAAGAGGTGCTTATTTGACTAACTTTAAAAATAAATTCTTATGTAATGTATTAGAAATATGTGTCTAGTCCATTTACTATTAATTGCATTTGTTAATAAAGCATTAAAAGAGCAGTGAAAAATACTGTTGGTCGTCTGAGTGGATGCAGTGCATGTGTAAGGGCCACTTTCTAAATTAATTGTTTTGTTGTGACAGCATAGATTTTGAATCAAAACAAAATAATATACTTTTAGGGTAAATACATGAGCTATCTGTTATTGTTCCTTTTTACTTTAAGATACAGAATTACAAAATAAAAGTAGGAACATTTATAGTATTAAGTAATGCAAGCATGAATAATAAACCTAGTCCTCATCAGAAACGATAATTTTTTAATTTTCTAATAACATGTAGTTTATATGTATGAAAATTTTTTTTAAACTTAATTTAATAATTATGTTTAATCTTTTATTTTTTTATAAAAAAAATGCAAGAAGTTTATCTGTGGTTAAAAAATTGCTCTCTCTAATTAATCTTAATAGAAATCTCTGGATTTTTTCTCCAGGGACAAATAATGGTTTATTTAAAATTGATAGAAATATTATTAAAATTTTAAAATTTTGATTTTTAGGCTGGTTTAAGCATAAATTTAAGCATAAATTTTAAAAGCATGACTTATAAAATAATTGTTTTATTGCTGGATATTAAGTCTGACTTACTGTTATGTGCAAAAGTATTTCTCACAAAAGTATTATTCACCACTGTTTTAATTGTAATAATTTTTTACATAAAACTTTTATCAATATATAAACATAAGTTTAAGCAAAATATTATATTAAATAACTAAATAAGTTAATGATTGCTTTAAACCGTTAAATTACTTTAATATTTGAAATAGGCATTGTGAATGTGGCTACTAGGCCTAACCTCCACAGGACAGTTTCTGTCTGCATGCAATTATAAAAGAAAATGTATGTATATGTTAGTTTATAAAAGTGTAGAAATCCATGCCTTGGATAGGAATGTTACAAATTATTAACAGTATCGATTTTTAAAAATTAATCTCTCTTTCTTGTCATTAAATTTTATTAAAAGAAATTATAATAAAGAATTTTATTTTGAAAGAATTTTAAATTATAAATGAGGAGAAATATTATCACTTTTTCTCTGCACTTATTTATTGTAAATACAAAAAAGTATGCTATTTTTTTTTAAAGGTTGATGAAGTAAAATCCTTGATTGAGGACTGCACATCAACTTGTGATTCATCCTCTTTGAGTGGGCATGATAATGACAGTGAAGTTGTGGATTCTGCTCTTGAAAGCCATAAAACATGTAATAGTTTGTTATGGGACAAAATAAAATTAGCCGAAGAAAATATAAATGTTAAAAAAACATTGATGAAAATTTTAAGCACTGATGTGACAAAATTGAAAAGTTATAAAAGGAAGTGTAAAAAAAAGTTGGAACATTCTGGGTCCAATATTGACCTTATTCTTGAAGTCACTAATGGACTCAATGTTTTTAAATGTAGCCAGTGTAAATTTTGTAGTGACCATTCTGATTTTAGAGAAGCCCTTTTATCATCAATAATTGAATTAGTTCATTTTAATGAAAAAAGTCACAGTTCTTTATTGGAAGAAAATAAAGCATTTAAATCCTGTTTACAAAAAATTTATTTTAAAACAAAACATTGTCTTTTACACAATCAAATTTATTCTAAAAATCAGCCAAGTCAACATTCTTCTTTTGAAAATGATGGCCATGCATTTTATGATAATGTGTACTCAAGCTTTGAACAGTTTTGTCATCATTTTCAAAGCCTCCAAGAAGAACTTATGCAGCTAAAACATATTTTGCTTGCAGCAGAAGAAAATCATTTAGATAATTTTTTTCAAGCTTCTCATTCTTTTGATTGTAAAAGCTATATTGATATGAGGAAAAGGCAAGTTGGTTTTCAAAATGAATTTGAAGATAATGAAAAATTTTCTCGTCATCACCAGAGAAATTATTGCGGTTTTGAAAAAAAGGTAATGTTTAATTTTATATAGTTTAGTCTGTATCAATTCAATTTAACGATAAGCATTTTATCGAACGATTATAACAAATTTAAAGATTTCAGTTTATATCTTTAAGTCTGGAATTGATAAAATTACTTTTTAGCAAATTTGCGATTTTTTCTTACTATTAACTCTGAACACAATTTCATAACTATATACTAATAAGTTAACAATATATTATTTTCTTGTGATATTTTTTTTCATAGGATATTTTTTTTCCTAATAACTAAAATAAATCTTCTAAAAAAAGTTGTTGCCCGAATTGTGGGAAAAATTATTTTTTTTAAAGGGGAATGGTTTGCAAGATTAGCCAATACAAATTTTCTTTAAACCCAACTAATGGTCAATAGCTAGCTTACTTCTTAAAAAAAATAAAAGCTAACTGGAAAACTATCGGTTTAGCTAGTATCAGTTGATAGGACAATTTCAGGGGAGGGGAGACGAAGACTATTTGCCAAACCTCTTGTAGTTGATAGACTATCCAGAAATATGTCAAAATATTTACAGTTAAATGCTTGAATTGGTAGCTGAAAATGTGCATTATTATTGTGAAATATGATATGTTAGAGAATGCATATAATATCTATAATGAGTTAATTCCAAATTTATTCTGAATTTTAATATCATTAATTTATTGTTAATATTAACCTAAGTCATAGTCAGAATTTCATATCAGAGAAAGAACTGTAATACATACTTGCGCATAATTTTTTTCTAGAAAAGCTTTGAGTATGAATCTTGCTTTATGTTATATTATTATTTGCATACTGCTATTAAATCTCACATTCTATTTTAAAATTGATAATATAATAACAATTTTTAACAAAAACTTAATATTTTTATCCCGTTTAAAATTAGTTTCATTATTTTTTTTTGTGTTGAGGAGATCATCAACTATAATCTTTAATCAGAACAATTTTCAAATGAATTTTTTTTACATTTTGTATTGGCATTAAAATAATAGATTTTCTTAAAATTGTTAGTTTTTTGATTTAATGTGTGCATATATTTATAGCTTAATTGTTGTGATGAGTCTTCAGATAATGATATGTCATGTGAAGCAAATCCAGCATATGATCTAAATGCCAACAATTTGGTTAAAAATGAAGTATGTTTGTTACAGCTGTTCTTTTTGTATTTAATAATTTTTATTATTTGTAGTTAAGTTTTATTTTATAACAAAATATAAATGTTGACTCTTTTGACATGTTTGATCATAGTTATAATTTTTTTTTTTTGTTATGAAAAGAATTTTATTATGAACCATCTTTGCTTTTATATTTTTGTTCGGATTTAGATTTTTGAGATTGTGTATTACTTTCAGCTGGACTCACTCCGCAGTGGAATATTTGAAGCTATGCGTGGTATTCGTGATGTGGAAGTGGAGGATAATGATGATAGAAATCTTATCAACATGGTAGCTTCTTTAGCTGAAGAGTGTGGAGCTCTTCGGCAAGAAGTTAGTTATTTACGAAATGTACGTCAAGAAAAGAAACGTTCCTGGAATAAACTGCAATGTTTCATAATGGATGCAGAAGTAAGTTTTTTACACATTCTTATTTTATTCCTAACTGTATTTTTCTACTTTACATTTTAAAACATTCCATCTTATTTAATTCATTTGTGTTGTTAAAGTTGAGGTCAATGTCAGAAATTTAAAATTATTTTTTTTTTACTTATGTATTATTTACTTCTTGCAGCGAAAACTTAAAGGAAGTCGAAGTATTTCTACTTTAAGAGAGATCATTCGAGATTTGGGGCAAATAATTGTGTCAAGTGAATCATCATCAATTGATGAAGCAATTTTATACATGTACACTAATCAGCTAGAGTGGCTTGAAAAGTTTTCTATGGGTTGTGAAAATTTATCAGTTGGCAAAGATTTGGGTAAATATATTTTTTACTTTATATGCTCATTAATTTATTCCTTGTTATATGATTGCTAATTATGTTTTCATTATTTATAATTTTAGTTGCATATTCCAACATATTTTAAAATTATATTTTCTAGGTTTTTTGTAATATGTTAGTTAATGTCATGGTTAGTGCTTTATGGTATCATTCCACAGTGAACTGATCATTAAGACACGGTTCCCAGCAGGTCACCGAACTGGCTGCAGTCAGTGTGCAGGTGGGTGACCACTTGGATCATTCTACGTAGGGACCAAGTGTGTGCGGTATTGATCCTCATTAAACTGTTCTACTGTAAAGTGCTCGACTTTGCATGCAGGCCGTTGGGCTATCAAAGCGGGGGTGCCATTCTCTCTGCAGAGGATCAAAATTGTGATGGCATGTCTTTGGATCATCCTCAGGGATGTTTCCCAGACCGTCGCCAACAGCCCATTGTGCAGCTCCAGTGCAACGTAAATGAACTACAACCACAACAGCTTTATGGTTTCCACTTAATAATTCTTACTTTTTCAAGCCTTCAAGTTATGTAAGAAATTCAGAAAATTATTTAGTATAGTTTTATCTTTATATAGAAACAAAAAACTAGTATTTAATGCAATAATAAATGTAACCTTGGAATAGATATATGAAGTATATTAAGAGAGCAATGCAATGCTATTTATCCAGTATCAAAATATTTTTTTTTCCAGACCATTGTGGATATTTTGCTCAGAAATTAGATAGAACCATTACATTTTATTTCTAAGGGTTATATTGTTTGTAAAATGAAGTAAAGTGTTTACTATGAAGCAAATTAATTTCACTTTGCTGTTAATTTATTATTGTTTGAAATAATACTAGTGGAATAGCATTACTTTTTTATTGGATATCATGTCAAATGTAGCCCATGCTACTGTTCTCATGAGGTTGTGCTATTTTTATGATTGTGGAAGCAACATCTAAAAACATCTTGTTAAGCTGTACTGGAGTGAAAAAAAGTTCAGATAGATACACCCGGATATTGATATGAAAATAAGTACTTAAATACTTAAGTACTGAGTTAAATATGAATACTTAAGTACTGAGAGGTAAATCAAGAATGTATGTTAAGATACGGGGTAGTTTGTTCTGTTGAAGCACCAAGTAGTGAAACTACCTTTTCTTTATTGCAGGAGATATAAATGAAACTTCAGGTGGTTATAATTAACATCCATGTGCAATGATGAATAGATTGATTATGGATCTATAAATCTTTTTTGGTCTTCCAACTTATCTATTCTGGCAATTATCTAACATGGAAGAGAGGGTTTACAATATCAGTTAAAACAGAAATGTGAGTCTGTATATAAGTTTTTTATTAATTATTTTTCACTTATTGCTGAATTTTAAAGTGTTTTCACAATTATGTGAAACATTCAAGCAATATTGAAGATAATATTTTTCCTCTCTATTGAAGCATCTGTTAAACAATTGTCACCATAAAAATGAAATCTTGAAAACCAAAAGATGACGGGAGCTATGTTTTTTTGTGATGTTAAAGATTAGAAGATCAAGCCTTGAAAAATAGCTATGAGATGAAATCTCCATGATTATGACTATATTATTACTTAATGCCCAAGAAAAATGAATAAAAATATTCTGTAATAACAGTTGTTAAAAGAAATTTGAATAATACCTTTGGTGGATTATAATCAGCCATTGATAACGTGATCTGAATCTTAAAGGGTCTCGCAAATTCAGCATAAGCAAACAAAAGTGGAAATAAAAATACAATTACTTTTTGCTCTAATTGATATTTACCAAAAAACTATTACTTTCAGAATTCTGAAAATCATCACTGGTGTCTCAAATATTGTACTGTATCATCAAAACTTTATTATTCTTGAGGAGGAACACTTTAATTTCAGAAGAAATAAATTCACAAGAAACAAGACACTTCACAAGAAATAAATTCACTGTATAATATATAGACTTTAATGGTTCAAGAATATGAATTGGTTTTAGTATGGTAGACTTACTGTTATGTATTTAAAATTGTGGAATTGTATGGTTTTTTAAACTAAGTGTAACATTAAAAAAAGAGAAAATATCACACTATTAATCTCAGGATCATGTAACAAGTATTTACATAAAGAAGACAAATCACCTGTCTTATAAGAAATGAATTTAGCCAGAAAACTTTTATTTATTATAAAACTTTCTAAAATTTACAAATTGGATTTAAACTATATGAATGACAAAACATTTTGTTTTGTCAAACTAGAAAAATGTTTTCATAATCAAATTATGCAATATTTATGTTATTGGGATCTTTGTTTTCTAGTCAGCATTTAATATCTACTATTGATATTTTAAGAAAATAATAAGAAAATTAATAATCATTTAATGTAATAGACATTTTGGAATAAGCATGCATATGATTTCAAGAAAATTCATCAGTATTAAGTCAAATTTAATTCCGATTTGACTGTAGATTTTAATCCTTTTAATATCAATAATGGATTACACACCAGACAGCTTTCCATAAGCAAGATCATTAATCTATTTTTGAAGAAATGAAAGCACAGTCTGAACACATTTACTGTTACAAGCCACTCAAAAAAAAAAAAAAAAAAAAAAAAAAAAAAAAAAAAAAAAANAAAAAAAAAAAAAAAGCAACCAAAATTAATGCAACCTACCTATTCTATGAACAAGATTTATAATAATTATACATATATCAGTATTTAATTACTTTTTTACCTGTCATAATTATAAAATGATTTTTATGTATGATTAAGGAAAATATAAACTATTTTTATTGGTTAATTTATTTAATTTTTTTAAACTTATTTTAAATGACTTGTTTTGCTTTTAATTATAATGTTAAGATATTTCTAATTATTCAAACAGTTCTCAAGAAAGGAAAAATTAAAAATGTTACTTCTTTAAAAACAATTTCTGAAACTATTTGACTGATTTTATTCAAATTTTAATTTTTCTTATCTAAAATTAGATAGTTTAAGTAACAGGCCGAAATTAACAGTTGCCACAGTGTGACTAAGTATAAAAAGTGGTGATTAAAAAATGGTCTACCAGTTACCACTTGATCGCCACTTTTTCATTAAAAGGGAATTCTCTGTCAATTTTATTAAGTTTTTTAGCCTACTGAAAATTGCTTTATTTCAAGCATGTTTCTCAATTTTTTTTTTCATTTTAGAAATAAACCTTGTAATGTATGCTATATTTCGAGAAATGTTTCGAAATAAATGCATTACATTATCAATATCAAGTTTTTTAAATCATTTAAAATTTTGTCCAAAGCTTCCACACATTTTAAAAAGTATCCATTGTTAAAAATGCTACAACTGGCAGGTTGCAAAATTACTTAATTTAGCCTTATAGTTTAAGTAATGTTAAACTTTGTATACCTTATAATTTAATTTTTTATCATTATTAAATTAAAAATACATTACACCTAATTATTAAAAAAATTTTTTTGCTTGTAATTTTCTCTTAATAAGTTTTATAATTTTGTACTCAAATTTTCATTTCTTTTTCTGTTCATATTTTCCAGATTACAACTACTCTCATATATTTAGAGTAAAACTTTTAAATATATTGAAAAAAATGTATGTTTAAAACACTTACACTAATTAATTAGTTTTTTGTATATAAGTTCGTCCCTTCCACCATTAATATAGCCAGTTAACCCCTTAACTGCCGAGTAAAATTTACGTGATTCACTCCCCAGTGCCACCATTTTTCGCTCAAGTGTACTTTCTTATGCAGTGTTTTAGTGGAAGGAAAAAGATGCACGCGTTGCAATTTTAGAACAGTTTACTTTTACAAGACAAGAAAAAGGAAAGAAAGAGATTACAAAATTTAAATTAAATAATAAAAATACAATATAAAAGTTGTTAAAACATAGCTGTTGTATGATAAATACTGAAACATGGTTGGACACATAAACCAACATCACATTCATTGCACTGATAGCGGGATTCACGACGAATTTTTTTCTTGAACAAACAGCACATTTTCGTGATGCATTTGAAGACGTTGATGGAAAGAATAAAAAGCACCAAATACACACGGGAAACGAAAGAGAAAAAAGAATAAACCCGACCTTACTCAAAAAGAGACAAGCAAACGAATAATATTATATCACTTTTCCATAACATCCTTTTCCCATTCCCCCTCCTCCGAAATTAGTAATACATTTGCAAAGCAAACAGTTTCAAGGTCATTTTACTGCATTCTGAAGTAGGGGGGGTTGTTATATTTATAGCAGCGCAATGCAAAGCATCGTACTTCGGAAAAGTGTATATATACGCCTGCGGCAGTTAACTCACAGTCCAGCCGCGACGTATATCTACGCCCGCGGCAGTTAAGGGGTTAAAATGTAAAAGATCAGCAATTAAACCAAAAATTATTCAAATGTTCTATTTTTTTTGCATCATACATTTAGTTAAACAAAAATAAAAATTTATGCTCGTTCTAAAATTACTAAAACGAAAATACTTATCATGAAAATAAACCATTAACATGCTGATTACTTTGTGAATCTAAGAAAGTTGAAAGGTGTGAAAAAAATTTTCTTAATATGTTAACTCAAGGATAGTAGAATTTGAACATTGCAATGCTGTCAAATGCAGGAATCTGGCCACTTTTTGAGTTTGAACTATTTTGGCAAATCTTTGAATGAAAAAATTAAGTTTCCGACCTTGTTTCTCTTATAAATAATTCAGAATACTTTTTATTTTGTTGTTCAAGTCAATGCAAAATTTTACTCACAATTGAGTTTTGAGTTAGCATTTGGAAAAAATAAAATTTTACTCTTCTTCAACAACTGACATGATTCAGAAAAATAATTAAATAGTTAGTTTTAGTTTTGTTACTATTTGGATTTAATGTAAATTTTTAGATAAATCTATGAAAATGAGCTAGAAATCACTGTAAATAATTTCTAGCTGCTCATTATACTTTAATTTATAATCATTAATGTCGTCATATATCTAATAATCATTATAGTTAATACGTTTTTTTAGCTGCTCATTATACTTTAATATGAAATTGTATTTTATTTTAAATAAGTTAAATGAAACTGAGGAAATGAATCCCTATACCATTTGCATAACTGCAGATATTACAAAAAATATTTGATCAATATGCAAAATTTTTGCTTCAATATGCAAAATTTTTTATAATTGTTTAAGTACTGATTTATGAATGAGTACTGATGAATGTATAGCATTCTTTGTCATGACCATGAATGAGAATTATTAGTACTAATGAATAAATATATTTTTTTAGGTTGTAAAGATATGGTAAAAGATTCTGAAAATACTAAGAATAATCAAGAGTGCCCTGCTTTAAGTGACTCATATTCTCAGACATTATTTAACTTTGTTTATGATAAGCAAAACGGAAGTACTAATGATGCAAAAAATGTTGAAACATGTGATGTTGCAATTCAAGTTGATGCATTTTCATTTGGAAATACTGCATTATCTCTCTATGAACCTTCTTTTACCGAAATTAGTAGGGAAATTTATGTTGTTCCTGAAGCTTTAGACGAATCTGACTCTTGTTACAATACTATTTCTTCAGAAGCTGTGGTTAATGATGTTGCCCAAGATGAATTGCTTCCAGATAATTTTAATTCAATTATTACAGTAGTTAACAATTTAGATTGCTCATCTAATTGCCAAATGCTGGTCCTATCAAAAGATCACTCTGTAACTTCTAAAAGCTATATTCCTTTAAGTGGTGCTTTTCCTGTTGCTTCTTCAAATAATATTTATAAATTGCCTGGTGTTAATTTCATAAAGCCAACATCAGAAACATCTAAAGCATTTGACATTTCTTCACTGCTTAACCATCTGACTTGGACTGAAGCTTTTCCTCTTCAAAATATAAATGCATATTTATCATTGTTTTTGAACGATACTTCAACAATGCCATTTTTGTTGAATAATATGTTTTTAAGCTTGTTTAAAAATAATGTGAAAGGATATGAGCTCACTAGAAAAAGCAATTCACCAGTTAGCTTTCCAAAATTGTCCGAATCTGGTATACCATTTTCTTTTGATAAATCTTTAAAGTATTTACCCTATAATTTCTCTCAAATTGAAGAAATCCAAGATGATTATGTTTTCCCAGAAGCTGCTTCTTTAGCCGCCTCAGATATTTCTATAGAAAATAATCCTAATATTGTCAGTGAAATTATTACTTATGAAAATATTAATGATTTAGGTGTATCATCTACTTTGCCAAATGAATCAGTGTTTTTGCCAAATTGTACAGAAGATGAAGACAGTGGGCTGGTTGATGGAAGCAGTATAGTTTCTTCATCTAGTAGCTTAGAGCAAAAATCATCAGATGATATGTCATGTGAAACTAGCCCTTTAAAGGAAAATTTCAGCTTGAAACGAAGTGGTACATTTATTTGTGATAAACCTGTATCACCATGTCGTGAGGGCACTTTTGTTATTGAACCATCTGAAAAACTATCTACTGATAAAACGCAAGTTTTTGATAAAAATGTACTTTTTACTGCAGTTTTGACTGCAGTATATGCTAGCAGCTCTCAAAATTCAGAAAAAAATTATGTATTGTATGAAGTTTACAATTCACCGAAAGAATCAGTTTGCGGAGACCTTCAAGCAGTAAACCCATGTTTTGAGACAAATTTTAATAGTGAATTAATGTTAAGTCAGCATTTTCTTCTTTGTGAAGCATCAAAAGAAACTTCAGCAGTTAGTTCTCATGTTCATTCCCCAGCTATTAGCTGTTACTTTATACTTTTAAAACCAAACCTTGAAATGGATTCAAAACTTTTTTTAGATAATATATCTAGCGAAAACAATGCTGGATCATATCCTCTAATTCCTCAATATTTACCAATTGGAAATACCAACTTTGAGAGTTTTGAACAGTTCTCTTTTGAACAAAGTTGTGAAATATACATGACAAATACAGAGGATCTTGCTAAATTAGAAAATGATTCTCAATTAAGAAACTTGATACCGAAAAAATATTTTAAGTTTAAAACATCTGTGCCTATCAATGATACTAATGATAATATTTTGCAAGATGAAGTACTGCATGAAACTCTATTCAAACAGAATTTGTCTCCCATTTTTACAGCTCCTTATGATTCTCATTCCAATGTTGATCTTAAAATAGGCAATGATAATGAAAATTTCGGTAGTTGCACATCAAGAAAACCGGAATTCAAAAAGAATTTTTTTGAAGGTTGTGAAAAATGCATTCAAACGGATAATTTAACTGATGATTCATTATTGTATTCTAAAGACAATGAGCTGCAAGAAGTAAGTATATATTAGTTTAATTTATTATTTATACTATCTTATACAAAGTTAGATTTTGATATTTTTATTTTTAATTTTATGAAATTTCTTAGCTTAATCTGGTAGTAATACAGTAGTCTCCACTTATTGTGATCAAAGTTAATGCTACTGATTGATCACTTATTGTTATCAAAATCACTCAGTCCTGATTTTTTCTATTTATTTGTATGTTAAACTTATTGCTTTCTGTGATCCTTACATTCTTTAATGTCTATTTTTTTAAGATTTATTTTTGTGAAATTTTTTCAGTTAATCTTTTTATTTTATTTTCTATATTTTCTGTGTATTCAAAAGTAACTTTTTCTTTACTTTATTTGCGCTATTGCTTGAATTTCTGAAAATACTTTTTCTTTTATGCTGGAATTCAAATTCTTTCACTCTTTCTTCAACTGTAGTTGAACAGGGATGCACTAATTGGATGTTAAGGAAAAGCAATTTTCATTGTGTCTTGTATCTAAACCGAGAACAAACATGCTGTTCTCTTATGCTCTGCTCTTTCTTACATAAAGTTTGACAATATGCATGGCAGGAAGCGAACTTGTTTCAGATATAACATCTTAAGAGCTCAAGTCATGAATGAGAATTGATAAAAATATCCATGTAGCTTCCACTTTAACCGATTCAGTTTTGAAGAATATTATAGGAAAAAAAACGGATGATGGAACTGATGAGTCAGATGAAAAATGCCTTAATGTTGTACCACCTCTTACAATTAAATGATGAATACAAGGAAAGTGTTTAAACGTTGAGTACAATATCACATTGACGACTTTGAAAATCATTATAATTAAGAATGATAAATGAGCTTCTGAAGAAAAAGTGTTGATAATCAAATCTTAATAATTTTTTTGAAATTATGCTTTATTAGAAACGGTAATTCCTTTTAAATTGTAATTTTTCTCTAATTATTTTTTTACTTAATGTATTAGATTGAAAAATATTTCCCAAACAGTACAGTACCATGTTAATAAAATCTTTCAAATAAATTTTTGGTAAATAGCTCTAAAAAAAATTAAAATTTCTTTGGAATTCTGTGTTTACTACTGTTTATAAATTGAACGAAGAGTCAGCAGCAAACCAACCATAAATAAAAAGAAGAAACTTTCCTTCTCCTCTTTAATCTCAATAGTGGTTGGGGAGAGAGGAGGTGTAAACCAGTTTCCAGAACTTCTGTTACTGTATCCCTAAATGTTGTTTTTCCTTTATATATAGGAATCATACTTATAATTGGGGAACCAATTTACATTATGTCTATGAAAGCTAGCTTTTTTCTCCTATGTATATTCTTTGATTATTAGATTTTTCTGGTATGGCATTCCTTACTGAACAGTCCCCTTCCTTAGTTTACAGATAGATGGACTTCTCCTTTTTATATTTTTGAATATACCAGTCTAAGTTTAACTGAATATAAAATGAAGTAATTGTATTCTTTATTCGTGGTAAATATAATAACTTGTGTTGTTATAGATGTATTGTTTTTCATTGAAAACCTTTTGTAGTTAACTGGAGGAATATTTAAGTTTCATGAATTATATCTTGCTTATTTTAAAGCTTTTTTTTAACATTGGCACTTTTTTTTTAGATTGCAAATGTGAGTAATAAAGACGAAGTCAGTTTAGAAAAAGGTTTTAGAGTTTCTCATGTTTACTCTGTGAAAGACAGTAATTTAGTGGATGAAATTGAAGCGTTAAAAGATAATTTAAATCAGCAAAATGCTGTTCTTATAAGATTGAAAGAAGATTTAGATGAAGCAAATTTTAGAATAGCTGAAAAAGAACAAATGTTAATAATGATGCAAGTTGAGTACAATAGTAAGTAATTTCAAAAGACATTCTTAGGACTAAATTTTTGAGTTTTGTAATTTACTTCTTTTGGTAGTCCTTTTCGCTTTAATCATCAACCACTTAGTACCCTATAACTAATCATGGCTGATTTATTTTTAAAAAGAATTAAAGAGAAAATAAGAACTTTTTGAAATTTTTAATATAGTTAAACTTGCATTACAGAAAGTTCACTATTATGTCCCACATGTGCATTAAGCATGCAAAATATTTAAAATCAACATTCTTTATCTAATGAAAGAGCTATTTCAAAGAAATATTTACATGAAATGCTTAGTTTTATTACAATTTAGAGTGCCTGGTTGTCTCATACATGATTTAGAATTACCCTTCAGTTAATTTATTGTTTGATTACTACTTTACAGTAAAATAAAAATTGGTAAAAAAAGAATTAAATTGGTAAAATTCCCTAATTGGTAAAAAAAAGAAAAACAATAAAAAGATAGTTCTTTCCTTTCTGACTAATATTTTACTAAGTTGCTGCATATTACAAGCGAGTTTTCGAGATAACAAATTCAGAGTTAAATATGTTCTAAAAAGTAGAAAAATATATTCTAAATTAGTACTCTAAAAAGTTGTGTCATGAAACAAAAGAATAACTACTAATAATTATGTATGTAATAACAGTTGACTATAAGTCTAATTACAGCAATAATAATTTTATTTTTAAAAATAAGAAAAAAATAATTGGTTTGCAAGTATATTTATTTACTCACACATATGGATGGGTGATCGTGTAAAGCTAAGGGTGGTGGCGCTAGTGGTAAAATTGCTCTTTCAAGACTTCCGGGTTACTGCTTCCGATATATTTTTTAGGCGCAGATTGAAAAAACGCGTCATCATATTATTGAATCATATCTTTTGCAGTATTTCACATGTACCGAGTTCTTTCTTTCAGCCTTTAAACTTCAGCATTATCATATTAATATTATAATCATTAGAATATTTTCTAATTAGGCTTACTTAAAAATATATTTTTGGCGACATTTTATTCAAATGTAGCCAAATAAGGGATAAAATGCAAAACATGGCAAACCTTAAGAATTATTCACAATGAGATATTAAGTTTCCAAAATGTTTTTTGGCCTTACGACCTCTGAGAATCAATACATTTCTGAAAGCTCTTATGAATGGTACAATTATGTTTATATTTGAACCCAAATTACAATAACAAAACTGCATAGAATATTTGGCTTGTTCACACATCGCTTCGTAGTCATAACATAAGCGGAGGGATACACCGGAAATTTTCTAAATTTCTTCCGGTTTAAGGACGCTTGTTATTGTTTACATTAGACCACCCATCCATACATATAAATAAATATATATATATGCAGGGGAGGGTAAAATAGTGGAAACACTTCTATACTAATATATTTTTCCATATTTTTCAAGAAATACTTAAGGAGTAATTTTATAACTTCAGAACTGTTTAGATCTATCAATTTCTCATACATATCAATAAAGTTTAATGCTTTTAGTGGTTTGAGGGACTGAAAATAAATTACAAGTGGAAAATAGTGTTTTTGAACACCTTATGCCAAAAAATATAGCAATATATTTGTAACTTATATTTGTAACTCTTAATTTTAAAAATATTTTCAAACCTGACTTTTTTATTAGGTGCCCCAAATATGATTCACTACAGAATGAGGAAAAAGATTTTAATTTTTCCCACACACACGTTGTATAAAGAAACTAATTACTCATATCTTGTACAGTTTAAAAGAATATAAAATAATTGTCAAATTATATAAAATGATCCTCTAAATAGTTTTTGAGAAAAAGCACGAGATGTGTCAGTATAGAAGTGTTTACGTTACTTTGTACAACCCCTGTATATATGAGTGGGTGTGTGTTTGGTTATTTTAATAATAATTGGATAAACAGTAATTTATCAGGGAGTAATAATCTATCAGGAATGCAGGAGGGAGCATTGCTTAGTATATAATTGTTCAGTGTTCTCTATAATGATATTTTTCTAATCTATTATCATTGCCACAATATTTTTCAGATCATTTCTTAATCAATGAATTCGCACAGAAATCATGATAGATCATGAAAAATCAGTACTTTAGTAAATCTAAAAACAGCTGAGGATAGGTACCACCATTCCTGTCTAAAAAATATCTTTAACTTTATACCTTCTATCAGTAGTATTTGTTGTGTCGAACTACAAGTCTAAGACTGTAAAGATTTCACCTGAATATACATAAAAAAGAATAATGATCTATCATGATGAACAACGTTTTTATCGGAGGATATTCTCCAAAGTTATTCATACAATTTATTTATTAGGCAGGTATCCTTTTTTCTCATATTTTTACAAAGGGTAAGGCTGATTATGTTCTTAAGCTTTTGAAGTTATTTTTAGCACTATAATAACTTAACAACAAAAAATAAAAAGAAAGAAAGAAATCAGGATCGAGTTGAGTTCATTGCACATGCATTAGTATTAGTCATTAGACCCAAGTCATTCATATTCCCAACTCTGCAAGGACTTTGAAAAACTATAGCATGGTCGAAATTACTGTATAATATTTTCGAATAACATCAGGGTTAAGATATTCCATAAGCACATTTATTGCCCTCGGATTCTGCAGTGATGTAAGAAATTTTGCAATTATTTTCAACCAATGTAAAAAAATGTTGTCATCTTTGACTACTGATTCAGATGAAACCCTTCAACTAAATTTAGAGTGTGAAGATATCATTTGAAGTGGAATGTACTGCTTTTTAATTTTGGTTCATATGAAATTTTACGCATTACTACCCTTAGATGTTAAAAAGCAAAACGTAAAAAAGTAATTAAAATTTCGTAGATTTTTGGATCTCAATAATTAAGCTTAAATCAAAAACCATCGCAGCTTCATGTTATTCTCATTTGAGATGCCCAAAATGAGATAAGACACAATATTAATATCACTTCTAGATTTCTAGGAATTAGTTTGAACCAAAAGTTTAATTTGACTGGGCTATAACTGAAACTACCATATAATTAGAGTATCTATATAATAAAATATTATAGTTTTAAAAAAATTTCAGTTTGTTTTATGCAATAATATTTTGCCGCTTTGATTAATTAATTTATGCTATTATATTTAAATATTTATATATTATTAAATTTTGGTCTGTAGGAACTGCTTCTATTTTGCAAGAAAATGGTTTAAAAGAAGTGGAAGAAAAAGAAACTCAGACTCAGGATGATATAAAATCGAGCAAATACAATAATTTAGTTGAAGAAATAAACTTTCTAAAGTAATTTTTTCATAGAATTATTTTTCTTTTCTAAGACCTTTTTGCAATATATATTACAGTAAAAATACTTTAAATGTGGTATTTAATTTCAGACAAAAAAATGCCCACCACAATGAAAAGATCGCACATCAAAACCATACAATCCAATGCATTAAATCACAACTATGCAGTACAATTTCTCACTTGAAGTATTTAAAAGATGCTGCTGCAAAACAACTGAAGAGACAAAAACACCAGCATTTAAAATCACTAAAAGTAAACATTCTGTTATTATTGTAACATAGTATAAATTGAAAATAATAAGTGTTTAAAATAAATGCATATTTATTTATCATTTTTTTTTCTATACAGTAAATATTTCATTTTCATTTAATTAAATAGGTAAAGCAACAGCTGCATGATGTGAAATTGGAGCTAGGCAAAAAATATCAAGAACTTGAGAAGAAAAATGAAATCTTGTCTGATCATGAATTTCAGATTAAGTATTAACACATTTATTTAACAATGACTTAGAATCTAAAGTTCAAATTTTTTTTTAAAGAGTTTAATATATACCTTTTTTGCAAAACACACTTAATGCATGGCATTATTTTTGTCTTTCTATGTTCAGTTTTTTGCATTTTAATAATATTTATAAAGTCTTTCTTTCTGCTATTTTGTATCTTTGAAGTCCAATAATATCTTGGTTCTCTAAGTTTTTGACCTTGAACTATTTAACTATATTGCTTTCTTACATGAAACAAGTAAGCAAATCGAACATAAAACAAACTAGTATATAGGTATATATATATATATATATATACACAGTCAGACCTCGATATAAGGTCACCTTAAGGGACATCGCAAAAGTGACCTTATAAGCGGGGTGACCTGTTAACTGATTCATTAGTAATTCGTAACTAAGCACATAAATAGTACACATTATGATTTTTTAAAAGTGGTAATACAAATGATCAGCCATAAATTAAATATTTAAGTCAAAAATTTTTTACAGAATTAATAAAGAGGTAAAGAAAGTTAGATTTATAAAAAAAATTAATTTAAAATAAAGCTGTTTACAAATTTTCTCAAAGTGTTCATACATACATTACACCTTACTTTATTTAAAATAATCATTTATGGAGGTCTGTCTCGTTTTTGGTTTCATTTTTCGAACAATGTTTTCTAGATTTTGTAACTTCTCAAAATGTTCCTCAGCTCCCTCATGGTTTGTAAAAAAATTTCGAATGACATTTATTGCATTGAGGGATTCCGCTTGGGTTACAGCTACAGTCTCAGGATCACTGTCATTGTCCTCACTGTCCACAACTTGTGAAACAATTTCAGAAATTTTAGCTTCAGAAGTGGTGGCAATTTCCTCATCAATCAAACCATATTCAGCCTCCCCTTCATTGCCATGGTCACAATTTTTCAGATCTCTCATCAGGAAAGATAGAGGAATATCATCTTCTTTGATTTTGTCATCCACGATATTCAGAGGACTTACAAAACCAGCATGACAAAAACAAAATGTCTTCTTCTAACCCAGATTTCTTCCAGTCATTCAAAACAGTTTCGTCAACACCTCCAGCTTCACCGCATACTGTCTTGAAAGTTAAATCATGTCTTACTTTAAATCTCAGAATCCATCCATTGCTCTGTATAAAATTAGGTTCTCTCAATTCCTCCGCTATTTGCAGAGCTTTTGCTCTCAGTACTGAACACGATATCGGCACACTTTGTGCTCTAGCCATTTTTATCCGTTGGAGAATGGCTTCTTCAATTTTTCTCATAAGGGGAAAAGCGCATCCTTTTTCTTTTCCCATTTCTATTGCGATGAGAAGACAGAAAATTGTTTAAGGTCGTACGTGGTATGCCACGGTCTTCAGCGAAATGTGCTCCCTGGAAGTGTGTACAGAGATGAGCAATTACAGGTAGCGAAGACAGGAGAAAATTCTTTGTGAACTGGAGAGTGGAAACTCTCTCCAGGTCCAGGTGTGTTCCTTGGCTTCAACATTTTCTAGAATTCGAGACAGGTAATTGCCATGTAAGGAAGTTAAATAGGTTTTCGTTAGAAAAGAGCTCCCCTCGCCTCAGATAAAAATGACCTTATATGCGGATAACCTTATATCGAGGTCTGACTGTATATATATATATATATATATACTCACATGTTTTTAATAACTATATGCATTTAAAAAGGATTAGGATGCTTGCTACTAGCAAACTTTTGCTGACAAGAGAAGGATGTCAAGATCAAAAGTTTCCCACGTTGCCTGACACAATATTTAACTGTAACTGTATCTAAATAAAAATATGTATGTGACTTGAAACAAACTGAGAAATCAAAACATGCAATAAACTAGTATGAGCAACTAAATATATAGCAAATATGTGACAGTTACCCTATTTCAAATTGCACTTAGATTGCACCAGTATTATGATATTAATTTTAATAAATATTTAAGCTGTTGTAAAGTAATATAGTTATGTTTTAATGATTTTAAATTTTAATGGTCTATTCTTTTCATAGGTAAACTCCTTATTTACATTTTTGCTTTGTTTTATTAACATATTACTAGTTAATTTTTATCTGTTTTAGATTTTTTCATTGTTACTATTTGTATGATTATCTGGCATACAAATAACTGTGTGCAGGTTTGCTTTTTAGGTTATATTTTTTTAATAATTTTGGTATTTTAGAAATATTGACTGAATAACTTGATAAAAGACGAAAGCAATAGAAAAAATGCGAAACTTTGAGCCCGAAAATTGTACTGTTTATGTATGCATAGAATTATTTTTTCTCTTTGAGATTATTAAGAAGGACAGCTTTTCATAGGAAAATGATTTGTAAATATTTCATAGGAAAATGATTTGTAAATATATTCCTTGTTGTAGTTTTAAAGCTGATTTTCTTAGATTTAGAAAAATATCACAAAAAATCTTTTTGCTTTAAATTGTTCAATATAGTTTTATGTTTATCTTAAAAAATTCACCAAAACTAAGGAAGACAGAAAGATAAACACCTGCCCATTAAATGCTAATATGAATTTTAGGATAGAACTCTATGAAATTTAGAAACAAAGATTTTAATTTAAAAAAAAAAGCCTTTATGTAAGTAATAAAACTAATTTCTGTATTTTTATTAATTAAATTTCCAGAAAGTACTCTTACTTGCTTACTTTTTCCTAAAATGGTTCAATTATAAAGATCAGTGATTTTTTTAAAGTTAATCACTTTGCTCAAATCATTGCAAAAATTTGATTGCATTTCAGGTCACAAATTGCATTGTACTGGTGCAATCAAAAGTGCATTGCACTTCTCAAATCAGTACCTCATTTTTGTTTTATAAATCAGTCACAGATTTTTTATGTGATTATAAATTTTTGCCTAAAAAAGGCGTTTGTTTTAATGGTTTGGGGTCAAAGCTTTGCTGGTAAATCTTAAGTGGACAGAATTTTGCAATCTGAACTTCACCTTCACCGATCCATTACTTTAGGTGTACAAAACTTCGCAAATCTGTAACTTTGTGGGAACACTACAACACCTTCCTAGAACCTAGCATACAGGGCTGTAGCTATAAAGTTTTTTTTAGGGAGATTAGAACCTCTTATAAACTTATTAATTTTCAATATTAAATTATTTAGCTTCATGTAAATTCATATTTTTCTAAAAAAAACCTTCTCACTTTCTCAGGAACCAACCATGGCATGATTATTGTTTTTTAATGTATTTTTTTATTAAAAAAAATTCATGGGTAAATTATTTCAAAATACAAATGAATTTAATTGCATTACAAAATTAATTACATTACAAAATTAATGTGATACCTGCGAGTGACGTACTGTGAGTATCTTGATCCTGATTGGTTGTTGAAATGTGGCATTTGTTTACATTAGCAACTGTTCTCTCCATTCTATTTTGCCTAAGCTAAACCCCTAAAGTATCAATTCTATAATGTGACACACTCTATATTCTTCTACAAAGATTTCAATTTTTTCACTTTAATTTCTTATTTAACTCAAAGATAGGCACAAAGCCATGTAGAACTTAAACAAACTAATTATGCATAGAAGTTGCCAGGTGCATAAAACAAACATATATTTTAGTTACAATGAAATATGTAAACAAATAATAAACCTAAGTTAAGTAACAAACATAGATGTGAAAGAATTATATTTCAACAAATTCAATGTGTGACACAGCATTGCATTAAGTAACTTCATGTTAAATAATATTTTAACTTATGTGGATTATGCTAATCCATGTAAGTTAAAGTATTATTTGGTTTTATATTATTAAATATTATTTGGATTTATGTGGCTAACATGCCATTTTGTTTATAAATGATCAGCTGACCCTGGCATAATAGGTCACATGTATGAGTTTTTGTGATCTTCTTCTTCAAATGCAAGTACCTAATGGCATTACACTACTATAATTAATTACATCACATTACTAAAAAATAACATAAATAATTAATTATAAAAAAATATTTGATTTAATATTTTTGCTTTTGTTAAAATTAAATTATGAATTTAAAACATCAATTTTTCTAAATTAACTAAGTTTTATTCTATTTTTTAAATTAAAATAATAAAATATAAAAAATATTCAATTTACTGCTTTTACTTTTATTAAAACTAAATTAATTATGAATTTGAACTTATTAAAATTACATAATATAAAAAATGTTTTTAATAAAATTAATGGATAAATCAATTATTAATTTACGGTTCTAAACTTGCAAAGTTTTGTCTGTGTAATGTTTTATCCATGCAAAATTTTGCGCATTGAAGTAGACCCATTACCATTTTAACTATGCAAGGAGAGGTTTGGGAAACCAATATTCTAATTAAGAAAAACAGTTTTCTTTTTATTTTTTTCCTACTTTCAAATTCATTTTTCTTAAAAATGTAATTACATTATTTAAGACAATTAAACTACATTAAAGCTCTTCAACCGAATATTAGAAATACAGTGGTACCCCAGTTTTGCATCGTCCATTTTGTATGTTATCCCGCTTCCTACATAATTTTCTGTTGGTCCATGAAAATTCCCTCTATTGATAATGTGTCCCAGATTTTACAAAGCTTGTGCAAACTTTCTGCATTTTTTTTCTTTTCCTTTTTTTAAAATAAATACTTGTTTATTAGCGTTTTGTAGCTTTTCTGATATTTTATCTATTCTATACTATTGCCAGTTTGTTCCCTCTTGAGTCAAAATCAGAAGAGGGGTGAGCAAATCAAAGGAAGAGTGGTTAAGGAAAGTATGGGAATTTAAATTGTAAAATTTGTGAGCGGATTTTTTTCCAGCTAACTTTAACCTTTGAATCTTGGAATAATCCAATCATTTAAAGAACATTACACTAAAAAACTGGTTATGTAATCATTTTTTTTCTTGATTCTGGTAACCTGCGAAATGATGACCTGCAATATGTTATCCCGCTTCATGCGGTTTTTGACACTAGTCCAGCGAAAAACGTAAGATCGGGATTCCACTGTTTTTTTGAAATGTTTAATAATTTTGATTCAAAATAAAGCATAAAAAATAAAGTCAATAAAAAGATTTATGTCTGCAAGACTGTTCATGTAATTTTATCAATATTGAAATTTAAAAAAAAAGGGCTATGTTTATTTCGGATGTAATAATTGTTTTGTAATAATGGAATGACTGTTTCTAAGGCATGGTAGTTTAGATGATTCTCCATTATTTAAATTTTTCCCTATGCATAAGACTTTTGAGCAGTCTATGCATAAGACTACTCATATTAAATATCATGTTCTTTTATGTATTAAAATCATTTTTTGATTAATGATTTATTCTTAATGATTCATTCTTACTCAATAAATATTATGTAATTGCAACTATAATTTTAGAGAATGATAAACAAATTTTTTTTTTTGTAATTCAGTTAATTGTACATTTCAGTGAAATTCAAGCTCGCTTTGATTCTGCAATAGAAGAATTGAAGCAGAAGTCAAAGATAATGAACTGTGAAAAAGTTGACAGTGTCTGTCAAACTGATGTAAGATTTTTTTCTGATGTTAATTATGCTAGTGTCGAAAAAATGTACACTTTATAGCAATATTAAAGTTTTTTCTTTTGCACATGAAAGCAGCTTATGAAATTTTGACTTTTTTGTGAGTTGGTTGATTTAGATTTTTTTAAAGAATTTTCTTTTATTCAATTTAAATGATAATAATTATGATAAGAGCACTATTATGAGGTAATAACTTTTAAAATTTTGTGACATGTATGGCACTTTTTTTTAATTATAGAGACAGATTGTGGATGGCCTAGAAAAGAACTTTTCAATCACCACTTTTTAGCTTTTAAAACAGAGATTTTAACCGTGTTTCCTTATATCTTTATTCGACATCATAGTGTTTATTAAAGTGAGATGAAATTTATTCAGGGACTGAGCATTCGAACTTTATTTTTATTTCATAAAACTTTGGACATAAAAGGATACAACTATTTCTCATTTAAGGGAGTTATTATTATGTATTGGTGAGTTCAGAGAGCATTTTCTCTCAGCCTCTCAGGGACTCAGCCATTTCTCCAATTCTTCTCGGTAATCGGGAATGTACTGCTTAAACCTTTTTGATTTTTCTGATATTAAGCAATCATATTAAGAATATTTTTGAAACTACCTTCTTTTAATTGTAATGCTAATATAAATATTGTTGTAGTTCTAGTTCTTATGTAATTTTTATTTTTCATTGTTTTGTATTTCCTACATTTTACAAATTTTTTGCTTTTGTTATCATCCCTATGTGATATTCATTATTTGAAATTGATTGATTGCAATACAATTACATACTTGTACTTGAAAATCTGAGCTATGGATTAAAATTATACTGATGTTCTGTTTTCACCTACTTCATTTTGCATTATATTATTAATTTTGGGAAAACTACAGATTAATTTTTAAAGACATGCAGTCAAACCTCGATATCATGAATTCGAAGGATGAGGCTAAAGAAACAAAAATTTGGGACTTTGGAAATCAAATATTTTAATCAAGTATGAAGTATTTTTTAAAACTTAATTAAACTGACATTTACAGTATTTTTACATTTAATTTGACATTTTAAAAGTTGTGCAACATGTATTTACTTTAAAAAAAAACAAACAAAAAAAACGGTTACTATAAAATGTGACATTCTCTTTCTTATAAAGGCTTCAAGAAATGGATCATGAAATTATCCAAACAAGTTTTTAACACTTTAAGTTTAATAAAGCATTTCAAGTTCTGAAATCAGAAAAAAAATATTTGGAAGAATTAAAAATATTTCATGAAATCAAGGTTCATTGAGAAATTTATTTTGCTAAAAGAGATTTTTTTAAATTATCAGCTTAATAAATGTGTGAAAATTCAGAAACTTTTGTGATATTGAAAAATTTGTGTTTTCAAAGTTCATGGTATCAAGATTAGACTGTTTTTTGATGAATGTTATGATATGTACAAATGTATGTTATGCATAATGTTGTAGTGCACATAAGAATAATTAACATGTTTATGACAAGTAATTTTGGTTTAGTTCAAGTATTGTTCAGTTAAATTATTATTTTTCAATATTTATTTAACTATATGCATTATTTAACCATATACACTATTTATTTAACTATATTTTTTGTAGAATTTTTAATTTGTCGAATTTTTTGTAGAGCTTTTTTCCACATGACTGTTATGAAGAAGATAAGCACTGTCACACAAGTTTACATGACCTGACATTAAAGAAACATTCGGAAGAATTACAAGAATTAAGAGCAAAGTTTCAGAATTTAGAAATTGTTTTATCAAACAAAAAAGGTTTGCAGTGTAAATTTTGTCCTTTTTAAAAATTTTCTGTATGTATAAATTTTCATAAGTCATCATTTTGTTGTACTTTCTTGTTGTACACTGTTGTACTTCCTTGCATTATGTAAAACATACACTAATATTTTAAAGTAATTTTTTTAAAATTTAATTTGCTTGATTTAAAAAAACATAATGCAATGTACTAAGCCATCTCTAATCAAATTTTGATTAGAGATGGCTTAGTACATTGCATTTTAGCAAATTTTGAGACAGTGATAACAAATATTTAGAATTTTTGAAATAAACTTACTGCTTTATTTTTTCTTGTGCTAATTATTCTTCCCAAGTTATTATTGGTTTTGTAATTTTTTCAAAGTATTCTGTGTAAATGTAAAAGATTATATTTTGAAAAAATATTTTATTTTAAATTTAAAATGTAATATTTTAAAACATTTTTATTATTATCAGTAATGCGAAACCTTATGCTAATTGTTATTTTTTTATCCACAAAAATAAACTTAATAAAAATTAATACACAATTTTAATTCAGAATTTTGCATACTAATTAGTTTGTTGATTATAAATCTATTAATTTGATTAAAAATATTTTATTATTCTATTTATAAATATTTAGCTTACATTTCATGACACAATTTTTTTTTATATTTAGAGTTTCAAAGACCTTTAAATAATGTTACAGACAAACCTGGAAATTCTGAAATGAAAGGATACACCTCTAGTAAAGAGGGTCATGTATGGAAACTTTTAACAATCAGTGAACAAAGTGTAAATAATAATTATTCTTATAATTTACTAATTTAAAATGTATTTAATTTACTTCTAGTTTAATTATTTTCATTTTGGTATTTTTTAGTATTTAACCTTGGTAAATAAGTTGTCAGACTCTCTACAAATATCAGATCTGAAAGGATCTATTGCACTAATGCATTCATCTTGGCTTAACTGTGAAGAACTATCTGATGCAAGAAGACTTGATCACAAAAGAATACTTCAAAGTCTGGAAAAAATAAAGAAAAATTTGAGATATTTACAAGAGAGCATTAGCATGGACACAAAAAGGTTAAATTAATGCTTTTTATGCTTGTTGTTAACATATTTTTAAAAGTATGTTTTATGTGCTTCATTCATATTGTTAATTGATTTATCAAAAGTTAATGCTATTGTTAACAGATAAAACTTAAGATTAGAAATTAACTATTTTGAAAAAATTTCTTATTTTTTTAAAACTCTATTCTATTATTATTTTTAAAATTCTATAAATTGGACTGTACTTAAGTACAGTCCAGTTTATTTATACATAATTGTCTAAAATTCTTAGAATCAGTCTTTAAATAAGTAGAGGGATTTTAGAATAAATTTGCCAACAAATGATCCCCTGGCATGCATACCATTCAAGAGAACAAAATGAAATTTTCTTCAAAGGTTTAAGATTTGCTCTCAAAAAATATTTAAAATATAAACTCACAATTATGGTATCAGGGACAAAATTTTTCAAGTGGTTGCACACACTTTTCTCATTAAATTGTAATTTTTACATTACACTTGGAAGAACTTAAAATATATTTCGAACATTATTTTCGGCATGAATAGTAGTCAAGCTGGACAGAGATTAACAGAGCAAATTGCAAGTAACAAAATATTGTGTTCTGTTTTTTCTCTCAGTTTTATTTTATTTTGTAACCAGTGTTTAACAGCTTTTACAAACGCTTGTTTTTGAATTTACAACTATCAATGTTCAGCTTTGTAGCCTTGATCCTGAAGACAAGAGCACTATTGGATCAAGCATCGGGGCAAACTAGCTTTCTTGGAGGACTTTTTTGATACAATTAACTTGCATTTGAATTAAAGAAGAAAAAACACGAAAATCTCTCCTGACTTACTCCTGAGTTTATCCTGACTACAAGGAGATTCTAGCCACCTTCAACCACTGAGGATATTATACATCAGCACCACGGTTAGTGCAAGCCGGGATCATAATTTGTATCAACTAGCCATGATTGAAATTCAAACATTTGTCTCCTCCCAGGGAGGTGCGCATTCTATTCCCAGAGCCACCATATCTCTTTTTTTAGTTGTCATTAGTAAAGCTGAATTGCTAAGTATTCAGTAAAGCTGAATTGCTAAGATATCAAAAATTTTATAAAATACTCTTTTCTTTCATCTCTGCTTGCCATGTCCTCTTTTAAATTAAAATCTTTTTCATTTTGAGTTTTTACTGTAGGGATTATCTCTCAATAAAAAAAGTAACTGTTGCTTTATGTACATTTCTTCTCTACTACTCTAACCTTTACCACAAGAGACTGCTTATATTTTTATTAATAGTATATTTTATCAATAGTATATTTTATCAATAGTATATTTTATCAATAGTAGTTTTATTTTTATTAATAGTGCCTTTAAGCAAATTTTTATTCTGTTCTATTCAACGATATATTCGTTAGGGGGTCATATGTTGGCAAAGTTACTTTATAATCATTTTGTATTTCTTATTTTGTGGGAAACGTATTAGACTTAATTGGTTTCAATAACAAATTATGCCATTCATAGTAACTTTTCTTCATTTTAGGCAGAATGTTGAGAATGTATTAGTGGAAGAAAAGAAGTCTACCACCATGGTACTAAATTTTTCTTGTAAATTATTTCATGATTTACTGAACAAACTCAATTTGTTTTACTTTCCTTTGTGAGTCTTTATAGTTTTTTTTAATTTAATGTGACATAATGTAAAAAGTATTGATCTATCAAGGTGGCAATACTCATAATGACAATATACTATCACAATCGTACTATCATAATAACAATAGAAACTCATTACTCGTGAGATCCCACCAAATATGCAGCATTATTGAATATTTTTATAACTAATTAACATACAAGTTAATTTATTTGTTCTCCTTGTAAGAATTTAAGAAATAGTTAATAAAAACTGAGCTTTTAACCATTAATTTTAAAATAATTATTTTAAACTATTAACAATTTTATCATCTATTTGATGTGCATAAGGAAAACAAAGTGTGGAAGAAAGTATTTTTACTTAAAATCAAAATTTTTTGGATCATAATTTTTTGCATTTCCTATAACATTATCAAAATTAAAAATTTGCAAGCAAAATATACAATAACTACTACATTCTCATGCTGCAAAAAAATTAATTAAAAAATAATTTGAAAAATATAAATTATAGATTATCTTAAAGGTTAATTTTTTATTGCTGAGTTAATAAATATGTTAAAATAAATTCCAGTTTTCTGAAATTACTTAAGTTATCAGAATAAATAGTCAAATATTGATTTAGTGAAGCAAATTGAAAACTTTATCGTCAATTAAGCAATTAACCACAATCAATTAAGCAATCAACTGCTTTCTATGTGTTTCAGTGCCATTCAGAAGAACTCCATTTTCAACATTTGTGTCACATTCTCCAGAAAGCTCAAGATGTAATTGTTAAAGAATACTATCAAAAACGAGGTTCTCAAAGAACTCCTGTGACTGCTGGATCAGGGAGAGTAAGTTCATTCTTTTATTTCAGCGAAAGCATATTTCTATCTAATTCTTGTATATTTGTTTTGGTTAAATTTTAGAAAATTTGAGTGATAAATGTTAAAATAAATGCTGAAAATATTTGTTTTTCACAAGTCTATTTATTTAAGAAATAGTAATTTTTGTTTCCAAATATTTCCATTTAAGGCCTTTTTTTTTTAAATTTTTGCTAAAAGCAAACTAAATTCTAACTTTGTTCCCTACACTCACTTTGATTTTTGTTGAATTAGATTTTTGTTTGAAATGAAAATATATTCTCTACAGAAAACAGTTAATTATGCACTTTTGCTTTTGATATTGCATTGTTTTCATTCCTTCAATTAATTTTTTCTGAAATAAATGATAATAATAATTTGTTTTAACATTTATAGATTTCATTGCTTTAGAAACTAATTTACTCTTAATTTAAATGGTCAATTATGTAGACACTTTCTTACCTGGACTAGATGTTACAGATTTGAAAGAGAATGCTAAAGATTAGTTGATTAGCCTTTTGTTTCTAATGAACTTTATAAAAAGGAGCATTGTTTAACAAATAGAGATTAAAAAGAGATTAGTTGATAAGTCTATTTCTTCTAAATGCCTTTGTTTATAGGATAGTTAAAAAAATGAGAGAGTTTCTTTACTGATGATTTTTGTTGTTAAAGGTAAAATTATACTAGGGTCATATATTTCATGATTCTTATAAGCTCTTTAAGTAATAGTTGAGTGCTTTTCAAATGACTTTCAAGTGCTTCATAATTAAAATAAAGCACTCAAATAAAAGCAGATTTTGAAACTGCTACAAGACAGTTGCAAAGGCTCTTCAATGAAATCTGGAGAAATGAAAGAATACCAGAACAATGGAAAGAAGCAGTAATAGTGAAAATTCCCAAGAAAAGCGATCTAACAAAATGCGAAAATTGGAGCAGCATTAGCTTACTTTCCATACCGAGAAAAATATTTTGAAGGATAATTTTGAATAGACTGAAGCATGAAATTTATAGAATTTTAAGAGAAGAACAAGCAGGTTTCCGCAGTGGAAATGGAACAATGCAGCAAATCTTCACACTTAGAAATATCATTGAGCAAAGCTTAGAATTTAACACCTCTTTATATTTAAACTTTATTGATTTCAGTAAAGCCTTTGATTCAGTTAAGAGAGAGAAATTATGGGACATTTTATCACTTTATTATATACCAGAGAAATATATTAACATAATAAGAGATATGTATGATAACAGCAAAGCATGTATAAAAGTAAATGGAGCATTAACTGAATTCTTTTTCGTAAAAACTGGCGTGAGACAGGGATGTATGTGTTTTATCAGGATTTTTATTTATACTGGTGATAGACTGGATTATGCGAAACAGCTTGAAAGATGAAAAAAGAGGAATAAGGTGGAATTTCCCAACTACTTTAGAAGACCTTGATTTTGCTGATGACACCGTACTTATTTCATCCAAATGTACAGACCTCTGCTTAAAACAGACAAATTCAACAAATATTCAAATATTGTAGGGTTATTCATAAACAAGAAGAAAACTTGAGTAATGAGAATAAATCAAAAGAAAAATGACAAAATTAAAATCGAAAATCACGAAATAGATGACATAGAATCATTTAGCTATTTAGGTTCTATTGTAGATAAAAAGGTGGAAGTAGTGAAGATATTAGACAGAGAATAATCAAAGCAAGAACATGTTTTAAGGGATTACATAAATTTTGGAGAGAGTCAAATGTTGAAATAAAGACAAAAATAGTTGTTTACAAAGCTATTGTTAGAGCAGTACTTTTACATGGTTCAGAAACCTGGAAACAGACTACGATCGAAATACAAAAATTGGAAACCTTTCAAAACAAATGTTTATGATTTATTTTTAAAATTTTCTGGCCTTACAAAGTATCAAGTCAAAATCTATTAAAGAAAGCTAAAATACAAACAATAGAAGATGAAATTAAAAAACGAAGATGGAGTTGGCTCGGACATATTCTTAGAATGCCCAAGGAAAAAATTACATCTTACATGGGCCCCTGATGGTAAAAGAACAAGAGGAAGACCCAGACTTACCATCCAGCGCATGTTTTTGGGTAAATTAAAAGAATGTAGAATATCTGGCTGGGAAGAAGCAAGATCTATTGCTAGAGACAGGAGGCGTTGGAGGGATATGCTAGAGGCCTTAAGTGCCGAAAGGCACATAGAGGATAACCAACCAACCAACTCAAATAAAGGAATAAGCAAACAAATTATTAATTTCATAATATTTTATTCCATAAGTTTTCTTTTTTTCTTGATTATTATCTAAAATTTTCACAAAATCTTTTATAAAATGTTTTACAAGCATAAACACTTTTTAGTTTTATACCAGCAATTTGTCCAATCCAAAGTTGCCAGCTTGACATTTACACAAACTAAATTGCCCATTAGATAATATATTTTAAGGTATTGATTTAAATTTTTATGGATTTCAACAATGATCACTTATATATACTTTAATACAAATCTGCAAGTATTTCATTTAATTTGAAAAAAAATTTTTATACACGTTGCGGTTGTGACATGAAAAGAACATGCACCTTCATCTTTCAATACAAAAATTTGAAGTTCTGTGAACCATAACAACTATGTGAACTGTGTTTTTTATGTGAGGCAATAATGTTTAACAAGTAATTCATGCATGTGGTGGAAATATTCAGTGTTTTCATTGCAAGTGTGACTTATATGACCAATGAAATAATGAGGCATGCAGATATTTACAAACTGATTTTCTTAATGAATATATTAATGAATGATACAATAATCAGTAAATGTTGAATAATATCAAAGAGAAATGATATTAATTTTATTTTCTTCTTATTCTGCTTTTGTTTCTGTAATTGTTTGTCTTTCTTGGCTGTTTTACTTATTACTTAAAGAGGTTTTCTTTAATCTTTTTCTAATGATTTTGTGATCAATCTGTGTTATTCCTTCTTCTGAAAAAATAAATTAATGTATCTTTTTCAAGTAAATTAATGTATAAATCGAATAATTGTAGCACTAAAAGACCAAAATATAATACGTATTTAACAAATCGTAAATATTTTTGCTGAATTTTTAATTTTGGAAAATATACGAGACCATGAAACATAAAGTTTTTTTATGCAGTCATTCCACACAGACTTAGTTCCAATTTATAAGTTAAAATAAGCAAGTAAATGACAGAAATGTCATTCTTTTTTTGTAAAATTTAGAATTGTATACATTTTTGCAATTGATATTCAAAGTTTCAAAAATATTTTAGGAAATTAAATTTTCATCATCATGGCCACTTTTTTGTAGATTGAGCAAAATATTATTTTAGACATTTTATGTAAGATATGTGCTTGCATACTGATATTATTGACTTACGTAATGATATTGTATATGGCCTATATGAAGCTTTTGTCCATTTTCAAACTGTGCCAAAAAGTAAGAAATTAAGCATTTCTTTATTACTTTTTCAGACTAGTCGACAAATGGGATCTCGTGAAAGAAAAATCCCGTTGGAATTAAAAAATGGCAGAATATTAGCTTTGCTTGAGGTAAGTTCTAGAAGCAAGGCCTAGTGCTTAATTAATTGGTTTTTATTATTTTAAAGTAATTAATGCTTTTACAAATTTTTGCAGTTTATTGTAATAAATTTTACCAGGTTCATTATTTATTTTTTAACTTTTTTTTGGAAGATAAATGTTAGTTTTTTAAAAGTAATTATAAAATATGAAGTAAATAGATATTGTCAATTTTTATTTATTTAACATCAAAAACTAAAAATATTAAAATCTTTCATCTCTTTTAAAAGCTTATTGCAATCATTAATGGTTTGCAGATTTGTATCAATCAGAAAAATATTTAAATGCCAAATCTTTTAAAAAAATACTGTACCCATTGTAAGTTCAATTTATTTAAATTATGCTGAAATATAATTTAAACAAACATAGTGTTTTGGTTCTTACTAAAAAAACATAACTAAATAAAGAAAAAATATCAGAAAAAAATTTGATTAGAAATTGATATGCAAAATAAATAAATAAACAAAATTATATTTTCAAAGAGTGGTGGGCTTTACATAATTGATGGTGTAAAATAACATACAGTAAAATGGTAATATTTATTTATTTCATTATTTATCTATTTTCTGTGTAATTGATAAGTATTTTAATAAACAATTTTTTCTTGTGTAGGATAAATTGATTCAAAAAGAAATCTTGCCTAACAAATTGGAGTTTGGTAAAGCAGATTCTAAGCAAGTAAGCAGAATTTTTAATTTCTTTATATCTTAATATTTTATTTTTAAATATTATTCTTTATAAATATGAAAATTTTTTAAATCTGAATTTGTAATAATAAGCTATGAAATTATTTATGCAAAAATTTTAATAAAGTTTAATACCTTTCCACTACAAACATAAAAATATTTCAGTTTAGTCATTGGCAGCCAAATATAATTATTTTATTTTTTATGTAAATCAAATGTGGTTAATTGCTTTTCTTCTGTTTGTGATTTTTATTTTGCTTTTGGTTGCTTTTGTAATAAGAGAAACACATAGAAATATTTGCAGTTTTATAAAGCGTGATGTTAAATATTTTAGATGTTTTTTGTACTAGTACTTATCAGTGTTTCGAATTTTTTAAATTCTCTAGTTAAAAATTTAAATTGAATAGAATCATGAATTCTCTTATTTATTTTCAAATTTCTTTCTATTTAAATATTCAGATAATTTTGAATGCTATTTACAATACTAAAAGAAATTACTCAAAAAAAAAAAATTTTTTTTTATGTTGCATTTATTATTTTAAACTGCAATCTGTTCATATTTTAGCTATTTCTTTTTGTTTTCATTTAAATTAAATTTGTGTGTTGTCGGTAAGACTGAGTTTTCTTAGCTTTCTAAAGTGCAAATTAATGAAGCAAAAAGGTTATAATGTGATTCTTCAATATTTGATATGTTATTTTTTGAAAATCTTTTCTAGTGATTCTTTTTCTTAGTGCTCTAAGGAATTTTTCTCTTTTAATTAGTTACTGAATCATTTAAACAGTTAATGCAATAATTATTAACTAATTCATTTAATGTTAAAACTAGTTCAAACAATTTTTAGAAAATCTTCCCTTATCCAGACAACATTACTCATTCAATCATTGACAAATATATTTTATCAAAATATAAATGAGTTGTTTTGATCAGAAAGTTGTTGTTGAAATGAGTTGTTTTGCAGGTTAAAGAATTGATAGGTTTTCAAAACCATTTTTTTAGAAGAAAAAATTTGACTGAGTTTGTTTTGAAACTTAAAGTCCCAATTTAAAAGTTACTATTTAAGGTTAAAATATAGAATTACGTAACTTAATGTAAAAATATAGAAAAACTTGAGATTCATATTTTCCATGAGAAATATTTCAAAATAATCTTCTACATTTACACAACTTTGGGCCATTGCTGTTCAATGATTTATAATTCAAAAAATATATTTGCAATTTTAAAAGTGTCTTAGATTAGGATGTCTATTTTCCAATCACTTTTAATCAATTAATACATGTATCTTTTCTTCATTCTTACTCTCTTAAAATTGAAATAATTATTCTTGACATTTATCTAAGGTCTAAAATTATTAGAGTATCCCTTCTCTTACAGTACCAACAATCTGATCAAATTTAAACTTTTTCTGGAATAAAACACTTTTTGAATAAAAATTAATTCTACTTCAATAGTCTTACATTCTGGAAAAGTTTAAAATTAAATTTATCATGATACTTAATGAATATATGATTGATAGTCTTGCAATAAATTTGTTTTTAAAATTAAATTGCTTGATTTCAGTTTCAATGTTTCTTTTATAATCTTAATATCTAATATTTTTTTTTGATAATTCTATATTGGCTATGTAAGATTAATTAAAGAAAAAAAATTGCATAGTTATTTTGTTTTTTAGGGATCTGCCTCTGGGAAAAACAAGCCAACATCTTGAAAATGATATGAAACATTTATTTTTAATGAACCACACAGAAAATTATTGTAAACTGACTTATTTTAAAATTCAAAGGTTTTGTGTTTTTTATGAAAAATAAATATTCAAAGAGCTTACAATCATACTGTAATTTTTAAATTGCATAATGTATTGTAAAATACCTTATTTGATTTGAATTACAAATATTTACTTAGGTTAAGTGCCTACAAATTGAAGAATCAATAATTTAAGTGTAATATATGTTTTATTTAAAGGCCATAAATATTTTGGATGCATTTGAATTTTGAAAATAGATTTTTATTATCTTAAACTTAATTTTGGAATAAGTTTGAGTTGCATAAAGTTTTCAGAAATTGACAGCAGTATGGAGTTTTTATGCTTCTTGGTACAATGATGGCAGAAATTATAGCTACTTCTAATTTAAATAATGATACTTTAGTTATCATATCTTTTTCTTTATTAAGCACTTCCTTGCGTGGTTGCTGCTCAGAATCCTTTAGATTTTCTATATGCTGAAAATTGGTTTTGTATCAGAAATTATACAGATTGTATAATTTTTGGCCTGAAAAAGCCATGACTTACACTGCCATACATTAGAAGAAATAATTTTATTTATTTATTATTGTTATTATTATTAATATTATTTTTTTATTTAAAAATGTTTCAAATATTTGAGAAATATGCTCCAAATCCATCTCCCTAGGATGCAAAATTATAAGAAGAAAAAACGTATGGTGATATTACGACGAAATTCCTAGCATATTTATGTTATCTGATTTCCACTGTTTTGAACAAAGTAAACGAGCAAAGGATATTTTCCCAGTTCTTTGAAGTAAAAAGGGCTTTAGAGGAATTCATTTTCACTCTATGTAAGAAGTTAAGATAAAAACAGCCGTCCACAGAAAGATCTTTTCATGACCAGAACCAAAGCTTTCAACAACGGAATGTACATTTGCAGGAAGTATGTTAAAGGGAAAAGGAAGTATGTTTACAAATAAATTCAATAAGTTTTCTATATAGCATATTTTTTAGACTTGTCCCATTATTCAACTATCATGCCCTGTACATTTTACTACTATTTGAGATGGTTATTAGCCAATAAATAGATATGTTTTTATTTTCTGATTGTTATAACTTTTAATGAAATAAATAAAGTTCTTCTTGGTTAGTTAGAGATTTATTTGTTACCTCAATTTTCTTAGTCAATTAATCTCATCATGATAAAAAAATTTATCATTAATAGCAAAATTCTTCTAGAAACTTAAATATTATTTTACTTAATTTTAATTTTTGTTTCCTAGACTGCTGTATTGACTTTTGAGAATACAATATGTATTAATAATTAAAAATATAAAAATAATTGAACAAAATGTGGATTTTGATTAACCTTCTAAGTATTAATTCTGATTTTTCTTAACTTATTATGTTATTTAATGCAAAAGTAGTGTACAATAAGAAAATCCTGTACAAGTTTTCCTTGATGTCAAGTCTAAATACTTGAGAGGAAAAGGGAGACAGCTAATTTTATAAATACTTTTTCTGAAGTATTGGTATTTGTTTTAAAGTATTGGACTTTTTTCATCTTCTGACTTCTCTTTAAAATAAATAATTGAAATCTTAATCTTGTATATTAGTTTTTCTATCTTTTAATAAAACCCATTTGTATGAAATTCACTTCATGGAAAAAAGGTTATTTAAATTGTCTCTAGATTTGTGCATATTTGTAAATTTGTCTCTAATAATCCTTTAAATATATGCTCTATCAAAAAAATTTTATGTGTGCAAATAAATTCGTAATTTTTAATATATTGTTCTATTTTCTTATTTACATGATGCAAAATTGAGAAATCACAGAACTCATTTTTGTCTATGTACAAAATGTTTGTTAATAAAATGTTAATCTATTTTTTGCTATGATGTTTTATTTCACCGCTTTATTGCACAAAAAATATTGTCTTTAACTTTTTGATTAATTTATTATAAAAGTTATTATAATAAACAATATATTGATGAACATCATTTGAAATAAATAATGATGTGGTAGTTCCATAATTTTTTTTTTCAACTCGTGAGAAGCAAGATTTTATTTCATTAAAAAATTAAATAACAAGGACTATATAAAATAGATTTAAAAAATTTTACTTTTAATTAAAAAATGTTAGTGAATCTTAAACTAATATTTAAAGCCATTTTTGATTTCTTTTGAAGTAACCTTGTTTTGCATTTTTTCATATTTTGTTGGCAAGATTTTAGAACTAGTTCAAAAACAAATTCGTTAAAAAAAGGAAAATAACAAAGACTAAATAAAGTGAGACATATATTTTTTTTAATAGACATTTAAAAAATAATATTAAATTAATCAGAATTTTTAACTTCTTATCAAATTCTGTTAAAGTATTTTCATTTTGCAATAAAAGTTTTCTTTTCTATTTTTTTTTCAAAAGTTGACTTTTTCATGAAAATTGATACAGTGAAATAAAACTACCATTTCTAAGTATCATTTTTATATATTTTCTAAGTATCATATGCAGGGTTTGATGTTTTTTTAATTAAACTGCTGTTTGTAGAAAATGCAACACCATGAAGGAATCATCAGAATCAAATGAAATATTATTTTAATAATGGATATAGGATATTATGCAAATTAATAAAGTTTCAGAGCCATCGCGCGTGCGTGGCGCGCGCAGCGCCCTCTGAATTGATGCTGAAAGCGTATAAATAAAGTGCTGTAGCGGGACGTTGAAAATAGTCTATGATTATTTGTTAGTGGCAAACGTTTAGTGAGACCTGAGTATGCCTCCACGACGGAAGAATAAGAAATTCAAGCAACTTACGGAGTTTGAACGAGGGAGGATAATCGGCCTTCGAGAAGGAGGATTTTCCTATCGCGCAATAGCAGCTCGTATGCAGCGGAACAGTTCCACAGTGATGCGAGTTTGGAAGCAGTGGACCGACGAGCACCGAACAACTCGAAAAACAGGCACTGGACGACAGAAGGTGACGTCAGAGCGCGATGATCGACACCTGCTCCGCATGGCGGTGAATGATCGCACAGCTTCCTCCAGGCAGCTGGCAGCACATTGGTCTACTGCTACAGGTGTACAATTGTCGGCTTCGTCAATTCGTCGTCGTCTGCTGCGCCGTGGATTGCGTGCAAGGGTGCCATTATACAGGATTCCCCTCACGGCGGATCATCGACGGCTGCGTCGGCAGTGGGCTCTTGAGCACAGAGACTGGCGAGCTGATTGGCACCAAGTTGTCTTTTCAGATGAATCACGCTTCAATTTGTGGACCCATGATGGCCGTGTTCGTGTTAGACGTTATGCCGGTCAACGCTGCCTTCCTGAGTGTATTATTGAACGACATAGTGGTCGAACACCCGGAGTTATGGTCTGGGGTGCGATTTCGTATCATGGACGATCCAATTTGATACGAATTGAGGGTAATCTCAATAGCAACAGATACGTCCGTGAAGTGCTACAGCCCGAAGTCGTTCCTTTCCTTCAAGGCATCCCTGGAGCTATCTTTCAGCAGGATAATGCACGCCCACATGTTGCGCGGACTGTTAGAGACTTCTGTTCAGCACAACGCATGCAACTTCTTCCTTGGCCTGCTTATTCGCCGGATATGTCGCCTATTGAGCACGTGTGGGATATGGTTGGTCGGCGTCTCACTCGTGATCCGCGTCCTGCAGTTTCCAAAGACGAACTTTGGTTGCGCATACAAGCGATATGGAATTCTCTTCCTCAAGCAGATATTCAACATCTGTTTGACTCCATGCCACGTCGTATAGCAGCACTTATTGCAGCGCGTGGTGGCTGCACCAAATACTGATTTCGGACGCTTAATTTGTTTCTTTTGTTTTGAAAATTTCATCATTTATTTGTATCAGTACAAGTCGTTTCTGCATTAAATTTCATTTGATTCTGATGATTCTTTCATGGTGTTGCATTTTCTACAAACAGCAGTTTAAATTTGAATGTAAAGTTTATTGATTCTTGGTTCTAATCGATTATATGGTACTAAACTTCAACTAATCACGTAAATAGAACTGGTGCATTAAATTAAGTTTTTGTCTAATTTGACAGTATTCTATTAACACCTCCTAGAAAAGAGAAGGCCTAAGCACGGATCAATTTAGAAGTCTGATGTAACGTGCATAATTTGCGCAGTGGAGGAAGAAAAAAGCAAGCTGTCACTACGTTTGGGCTACTTAGCAGCGTAGTGTAGGAAAACGCGAAAGATGTCATTACGTTTAGACTACAGGCAGAGACCTAGGAGGCATTGATTCTCTCCAGTTGTGGTTAATTTTTAGTAGTAAGACTCAACAATTCATACTATAACAAAAAATAATCAATGTCACCAATTTTACCTTTAAATAGGTAAATAAATTTGCTGCAATATTCATACAAAATATGTCATCTCTGTTATACTGGATACATGATATTTCATGTAGTTTACTACTATGTCTCTCAAAAATGACCGACAATTTTGCAAAAATCAGAAGAAAAATGCAAAAGAGAAGGATAGAAAAATGCATGGTTCGTGTACTCTGCTTTGGAAACTAGTTATTTCTTCACAATATTTCAAAATTTGATGTGTTCGTTAATCGGAGCTAATTCTGAAAATTACATAATTATGTTTGTAAAAATATCATAATTTGCAGCAGCATCTTTGCGCAGTTAAAGGATAAAATTCGTTGTAATGACTTGAAATGCTGCAGAAAACATTGTTTTGACATTTTTCAGCCAGAAATGCCATCTGCTGACTTACTTTGTAACTAATTTTGAAATTTGGTGAGAGTAAGTAAATGGTTTTCTAGATAAAACGCAACAAACTATATATCTATGTCTTTTCGTTTTTCCATAGTTGAGGTAGCCTGTATCATCGTGTTTTTCTCAAAACGTTACTATGAAGTAATTAGCAAGAATTTTCAAATGACTTCCGGAAAATTAGCCCCTATGATTTAAAACATGTTTCTGAATCAAACTAAAAACGTTTTTAAATTTTTTCAAAATTTTATATACTTTTAAAGATAGCCGTATTTACATTAAATTTTCTTGATTAGAAGAAATTCAATCCATTATTTCCTTATAGCTAAATAGAAATACAATATCTTTCCGAACAGACAAATCTGTAGTGAAGCTTAGTGAGACGTATTTGCATTGAATTTTCTTGATTATAAGAAATTGAGCTTATTATTTTCGTAAAGCTAAATAGAAATATAATAATTTTCGTAAAAGAACAATTCTACTTTCAGTTTAATAATTCAAAATTTTTCCAGATTAAGTGACATTCTGGATCCCGATTTTCTCTTCACTATTGCAGAACAAATATATATATATATATGCATACATACAAAAAAAAAAAAAAAAANAAAAAAAAAAAAAAAAAAAAAAAAAAAAAAAAAATAGCTACAGTCTGTCTTGACTAAACTACCAGGAGACTGTTTTATCCAACAATACATATTCTGTCTGGAAATCTCGGGTTTCAACCATAGTTTACATATTTTTCTCCTTTCAAAATGTCTTAGTACATCAATTGTTATGTTCTGTGGACTGGGATATTCATTTACATGAGATGTTATGTTTTTCATAAAAGTCAAAAGTTTTAGGGCTTTATTTTGGATTCTGATTTATTTTTTAATATGAGTCACAATGCAAATAGTCTGAGAGCCATATTTTTAAATGATAATTTTCGTTACTTATTAAATCTCTACTGAAATTAATTATAAGGTTTGTTAAGGTTAGCTAATTTTTTTGTAAAATCGTTTTTATCTAGCAAATAGAAAATTCGATTTTAATTATAGCATTTAAGAAGGTAACATATTTAATTTTAAGTTAGAAATAATGATACAATTATCTTTATATAGTATGTGATTATTTTTTGAGTCAATTTTATTAATGTTTGTTATAAATTAATTAATTGAGGGGGTGCTAGTTATGGCATTGACCACGTTCCTTATATAGCTGAATCCTTTTCTGCTTTTCTCTAGATAATCAAAACCTCTGTTTAAAAGCCGTAATAGATACTCCTAGTGTTCCTTATCATCATTTTATGTCTATTTAGGTTAAGCTAGCTAGACAATAAGGCTTTGGTTGCCTATTACGTGTTTTTGTTAGATCTCTATTGTTTTGCTTTGCTAAGTCTTTTTTGTTGTAAGGATATTTCGAAATTTTTTCAAGGAAGCTTTGGTATTTTACTCAGTTTTTGACTATATTTTGAATGATTTTATCGTTGATGTCAATGTTCCTTATCCAACTATTTTTTTGAAATCTTGCAAAACTTTTTTTTTCTACTCTAGTTACTGTAACCGAAAACATTTTTATGCGAACTGATTTATTTGAACTGAAAGTGTTTTTATGTAAGTTTTTTTCTCTATATTTGAAAGCTTTCATTCACTAAAATACAATCATGAGCGTTCGGAGGAGACATTTTAAATATGACAATTAACAAGTGCTACCTATAAGCAAGGTTTATAAATCAGTCTCAAAAAAGTATTTTCTCTCAACTAACCTGTGTGGTTTTAACTAATATGATGGGTAGCTGCAATTTGGAAATTATGATTTTAACATTTTACTGGAGAGAGCGGTCAAAAGTTTAACCCCTTTAATGTTAATTTTACTTTTTGTGTTATTAGTCATATCGGTAGAACTTATCACTCAAATTTAAAAAAAAGAGGAAAAGAAATCATCTTGCATCCATTTATGAGACTTTATCAATTAAAAATAATTTTATTCAAAAATAATTTTTCTCAAAATTTTATTCTGGTCTAAAAAAAACAGAAAATGGTATTTAAAAATGGTCTAAAAAGTTTTGATTTTTAAATTTACAAAATTAAGTGAAATTAGTTTAATACTTATTGAGAGAGAAGCATTATGACTTATACTAGGAAATACAAAATCAAAAC